TTGTATGCTTAATGCCTTTCACCTGCTTGGCAGGAGGTGGGTATTTGGGAATGAATATGTGAGTTTGACTTCAGACCAGTCAGTGGTTCTAAAATGCTGGGTTAGGGGACTGGATCACTTCCTCTTTTGCAGTTGAAATATGGTGAAAATATTAGACTATTTCCCAAGAAGAATGCACATAGATGCAAATTTTCATACAGGTTCTTGGTTTATGTTTTGTTTTGGCTCCCACATGTTGAAGTGAGGTTGGCTGCTGCTGCCACTTTTCCCATCAAAGACACATACACACAAGTACAGACACAATTTCAAGTATAGAGTTTGATAGGACTGTAGTTATGTGCTGCGTATTAGCCATGATTTTCAGGTAAACCCACCTGCTTCCAGCATTCTAGTAAACTGCCCCCCACACCTTTTACTGAATTAGTCCCAGCATTGAAATGGCACGTTTTCTTGTAAAACAATAGTCTTGTTAGGATTTTTTTTTTTGCATTTTATTTTCTAAAATGTCGTTTTTTTGTTCACATACAAACACAATGTGACTGAGCTATTATCTACCCATATAATAAATGTGAGCTATTTTTACTCCCCATAGTGGTGGGTTCAGATCTGAAAAGCATATCATTCTGAGGCGGGTTTTGAAGGGCTTTGGTTGTATTGTGTCTTTGTGAAGCTAGCTGGGCCATTAAGAGATCAATCCCATGCATGACCTTGGCCTCATTGCCACTGTATTAAAATCAGCTAAGCCCACAGGGCTAAGCACATTTCTCATTGTATTTACTCATAAGTTATTCCTAATAATTTGATTTTTTTTTCATATTTTTAAAACTAGGACTAGGTACTTTCATTGCCTGCCCCAGCAGTTTAGCTGTATCTCTTCCCAGTAAATGTTGCTTTTTCTTTCTTTGTAGTGGAAACCGCTTCCTATACCTCTGTTACACTAGTACCTTCATACCGGTTATCAGTTCCATTCCTATTTGCCATTTCAGATGCTTTAGTATTGTCTTTTGTCTCCTGTATCATTTCTGTTGTCTTCTACTTGATCATTTCCCATGGTAAATATACTTACTTAAATATCTGTCACTTGTCTTTTTTTAAAAAAAAAAAGAACAAAAACAGAATGAAATAAAACCCACTTTAACTCAATTTTGCTTCTTTATTTCTTCCTACCGCATCAAATTCCTGTAAAAGTCATCCATACTTAATTTTTCCACTTTCTCATGACCATTCTTTGTTCTGCTCTTTCTGATCAAACTTTCTTCTGCATCACTCCAAGGCTTCTCATCAAGGTTATCAGGTGCTACTTAGTGAAGGAAAGTGATCCATTGTTCATCTTTCTCATCCTTCTAACCACTTTCCATGGGTCTCTTTCTTATTTAACCAAAAAATGTCACTGTGCCCCAAGACTATATATATCCTTAGTCCTGTTCTTTTTGTCTGCTTACTGGGAGCTCTTATCTGGCCCATTGTTCCAGAATCATCTGTACATTGATAATTCACTGGCTGAGACTCTTCCCTGAGTTCTGAATATGACTAACTACCCATTTTCTAGATAGCTTCACTTGTTTTGTTTAAATCTATAAAACAAAACTATTAATTCCTCGCTGCTTTACCCCAATTCTCAAAGCTTGCCCTATCTTGGTAAATGACTCTACTATCTACCCACCCACTCAAGTATGCATTAGTCATAATTTTCAGTTAAATCTACCTGTTTGTAACATTTCAATAACCTGCCTCCACTCAGATGCTGGGAAAAAAAAAAATCTAGTACTGTTCATCCTTTCTCTCTTTTATCCCACCTACCCACATCTAATCCTTCTATACGTTGTCTGATTTTCCTTCAAGGTACCTGGCAAATAAAGTTCTCTCTGCTCCATTTCCAAAACCTAGATTCAAGCACCTTCAGCTCTTGGAATAGCCTCTCAGCTGGTCTTTGCCCCTCTGTGCTTGGCACTCTCATTTGTCTTTCACCTGGCAACTTAAAGGAGCTTTCTGAAATGTAGAGTAGTTACCACTTCCCTGATTTAAAACCTTCAAGTGGTTTCTGTGCGCTTAAAGTAAATCGAAGCCTCTTTCCATCTCTTATGATCTTGCACCTCGCTGCTTTTTCGTTTTGACCCTCTGTTCTTTTCTCCTTGGTCACTGTGATCGAGCCTCAGTGGCTTAGTTTCTGAAACCAGCATTTCAATAAACTGTCTCGATTTTTGGTCTCTGGGTCTTGTATTTCCTTTTGTGCTACTAGGACTGCTTTGGACATCTTCCTTTAGACATTGTCCTGCTTCCCAGGACATCATTTAGACTCAAATACAGTGGTACCTCAGTTCACCAACTTAATTTGTTTTATGATTTGGGGAAAGATGACCACATTTGTGTTTGTGTGGGGCAGATGGCTGCAGTTGTGTTTGTCACCCAATGTAGCATTTATGAATGGAAGCAAAATTTTGTCAGATGCTTTTGAGAACCAAATTGTTTGCAAACAGAAGCATTCATTCATGAACCAAGACATTACTGTATTAGCACATCAGAAGGGCTAATGCAGACCACGTGGCCTTTTATTGTCTTCAGTTTGTGTAATTATTTTAATTGTATGTCTGTCTGTATCTCTCCAATGTAATTTATACTTGTTGAAGGTAGGTCTTGTCTTGTAGACACTGATGCCTTAACATGTAGAACAGTCCCTGGAAGTAGTAAATGTTCAGTAAATAATCTGTTAGAGAAGTGACTTGTTACAAAACTCATACTTTCATATTTAGATTAGTAAGTTTATTATTAGAAATGAATTGCTCTCAAAAAGGAGTTAAAACTTGTAATGCTCAATTTGTAACATTTCTTCATTCTTACTTAGCTTAAAAACAATTACCCTGTAATTTATGATTTACAAACTTACGTACCTTCTCCTTTGGTCTTTCAAAACAGCCTTGGAAGTTACAGCAACTAATATTAGTGGCTACCCAAACCCAAAAGAGGTTAAGTGACTTACACAAAATTTTAGTAGATGACCTGGAACCTAGATCTTCTAATTACTAAACCTGACAACTTTTTTGGTATTGTGTCCTAGGTGTTCGCTGGTGTGTGGTGGTGGTGGTTTAGAAGAATTAATAATAATCCTTAGATTTTTTTTTTTAATGTCCTAAATTCCTTCCAAGATCCTTTTTTTTTTTTTGAGTCAATCCTGCTATGTAGTTTGGGCTGGCCTTGAACTCACTATGTAGCCCAGGTTGGCCTTGAACTTGGAGTGATCCTTCTGATTCAGCCTCCCAAGTCCTGGGATTATAGGCCTGTGCCACCGGCTTCCAAAATACATTTTAAAGCTATTGTTAGCTCAGTGGGTATTCTTTGCAACATTAACACAAAATACTGAATTCCATTACAACTAAAAGGCTTTGAAAAATTAGTTTTGGAGTTACAGTGCTGATATTTAATATGATCAAGTGTTATATTTATGAAATTAGTGGTAGTCTGTTCATTGAGAGTTAGACTGATAAAACTAGTATCTTCAAAGACATTTCTTAGAAAAAGTAGAGACCAACACAGGGAGGATTAGCGATAATTTTTTCCCCTAGAAGGGCACTGAAACACAAGACAATACAAGGGTACCCATTATCCCCATTGTCTAATATCATTACTACAGTCCACTGCTTTGCCTTCCTCCATTACCTTTCCTTCCAGTGACTCTGGCTGAATGCTTAGAAAGTTGTAGAAAGTTGTGATTGTTGACTTCTGTCATCAGAAATTGAAAATGCTTTTTGAACTGTCCATTATGAACTATATTACAGCTGCTATTGAAAACATTTTCTGAAATCTCTTTTTAGCGCCTTCAACAAATAATTCCTTTAAATCTATTTGATCATTTTCCCATTATTTATTCTAAAATGCATTTTGTTGTCTCTCCTCCTGTTTGGCCTGCCCCTGCATTGAGATTAATAGGTAAAATACTTTAAAAAGAGAGCCTTCTAGTAATCTATTTTTCTTTCTTTTTCTTTGATGTTTTTCATGTAGTGGGCTCTTTCCAAAACACAAGTAGAAGTTAGATCTAGTATGATAAATTAAAAGTGGTATTATTGTGGTATCTCTTGACTCCTTCCTTCTTCAGCATTCTTAAACAGATAAGAAAAATGATTTGTCATTGCTGTCTGCATTATACTCCCACAACATGTACATGTGAATATGCTTTGCATTATTAACTGTCTAGGTTTAGGACATCAACAGGGTTAGAGAAGAACATGCTTGGGAGTGTGAAGGAAAGGCAAAAGGAATATTCTTCCAACTGTCTTAACCTCTCCCCTCATATTTTCTAATTCTGTACTCCAAAAGTATTATATCCTACAGTGTACCTTTTCTCTTACAGTGACAGGAGGTCCAGTCAGTCAATTACACTACCTTTTTCTTCAAAGAAAGGTCATTCTAAGTTGTGATATGTAAATCTTTTATCAATCTAACACATTTTAGTAGAGAAGCTTTTAGAGGTTGTAATAAATTAACTTGCTACTGTTCTTTGTTAAGAGTGGAAATCAGACTTCCCTGATCAGTTATCCATGATTCAGTAATTATATCACATCTACACATACATCTTTATAATTATGTAAGCTTTCCCTCTTGTAAGGACCATATCCTAAGTAAACGTCAGAGAAATTGATTAATTCTAACATAAAACCTATCAACTGTCATATCACTTCTGGTCTCTAGCAGTCTAGAAGATGGCATAAGATAGTACAAAGCAGCTGGGAAAGTGAATATTCTTTTTTTTTTTTTTTTTTTTTGGTGGGAAATTGAATATTCTTAAAATCTACTGTTGCATCTTCTACTTAAAATATTAAAAACACTACTTTTTTTCCAGTGATATAAAGTCAGTGTACTTAGTCTAAAGCACACAAATAAACGTTTTGATAAGATCTAATGAATAGAAATCTACAGTGCAGTAAATTGATATATTTGGAGTAAAATAGGTGTTTTTCATTTATAAGTAGTAAAACTATTCACTGAAATTTATTTCTTTTTCTTAGGTTTAAGTGGAAACCCTGCAGATTTAGAAAGAAGAGAAGCAGTGTTTGGAAAGAACTTTATACCTCCTAAAAAGCCAAAAACTTTTCTTCAATTAGTATGGGAAGCATTACAAGATGTCACTTTAATTATATTAGAAATTGCAGCTATAGTATCATTGGGCCTTTCTTTTTATCAACCTCCAGAAGGAAATTCTGCACGTAAGTAAATTGAGTTGGGGGGCGGCTTTGATGTGATCTTATTTCAGCTCATTTATTAATCAGTCAACATCTGTTGATTGCAATGTGCTAGGCACTGTTATGCATTTATTGACAGATAATATTGACAAGAACCCTTTGAGTAAGATACTGTCAAGTGCCTTTTACAGTGACGCAACCTATGGAACCTGTTACAAAAGGATACCGCACATATGTGATGTGGTCTGTACTACCATAATTTTTAAATTTTTTAGAACACCATTCTATTGTGAAACAATTTCAGTTTTTAAATTTTGGTTCTTTTGGAACATAACATTATGAAAGCAAATTTGTATTCTCTTCCAGAGTCTTACTACTTTTCATGTTCTTAAATTATTTTGTCACATATGTTATTTGGGTAATCTCCTTGACATTATACCAGTGTCTGTATTTCAGGTTAAGTGTCCCTTATTTCGTATGCTTAGGACCAGAAATGTTTTGGATTTTGGATTTTGGAATATTTGCATGTACGTAATGAGATGTCTTGGAAAATTTACTTATGTTTCATATATACCGTATAAAGCAAGCCTGAATATAATTTTTAAATTTTATTTATATTTGTAAAATATTTATATTTATAAAATATAATTTTATTTATTAATTTTATAAAATTTATATTTTAGGTATACAGTACAATGACATTCATCATTGGAAATTTGCACCTTTACATAATATATCTTGGTTCTTATTTTTTCCCATTCCCCTGCCCTCCCTTCAACCCCTCCATCCCTCTCTATTTACAAAGACTTTGTTTCCATTTCTTCATTTTCGCATGTTAATTCCATTCCCTTCTTCCTTTTCCCCACCCCTCCCACTTCCGCTTCCCCTTTGCACCTTTTCTTCCTATTTCACATTATCTATTATATGTTTTGATCCTTATTTACAGTTTTTCAGTTTCTCACACCGGAGAAACTATTTGGTATTTACACATGTGTGTCCTATGTAGACTGCTGGAATCACTGTGGAAATCAGTATGGAGATGACTCAAAGAACTAGGATTAGAGGTCCCATTTGACCAAGCCAATCCCCTGCTGGGTATCTTCCCAAAAGAATTAAAAGAATCATACCACAGTGATATATGAGCACCCATGTTTATAGCAGCACAGTTTTTAATAGCTAAAGCTTAGAAACAGCCCAGTTGCCCATCAAATGGAGACTGGATAGAGAAAGTGTGGTGTTTTTTTTTATAAAATAGAATACTACTCAGCCAGAAAGAATGAGAAACTGGAGTCATTTTATAGCTAAATGGATGCACATTGAGGCAATACTCTTAAGTGAAATAAATACGACACACGTGTAAATACTGAAGATAATTTTTTAACAGTATTTTTAAATTTTCTTGAGGTAGTTTCATGGCATTAAATTTTTTACTTGGGGCATCATGTTGGGGCTCAAAAAGTTTTAGATTTTGGAGCATTTTGGATTTTCAAATTAGGGGTTGGTCATTCTGTAAAAAGTATCTTGACAACTGGAGAAATACACTGTTGAAGGGATAGATATGCTTTTACTTGTAGATAAAAGTGATTTTCTTTTATGCTCATCTTTCTGTGCCTTCATTTATCTTTGATATTTCTTCTTTACCTTTAAAAAATGTATTTAAAATAAATATTACTGCTAGTACATTCTGTAAGTGCTAAGAAAGCTAGCCTTAGTTTTGGTTACTATATTTAAGTAGCTGCAGAGTCATCCATTAGTATTTTATATATCAAAAGATTGGTTCCACAAAATATTTTTCTTGGTAAAAGCCTCATATTTTTATCCCATTGAAGCTAGGACAAATTTAATAGATATTTCCTAATTCTAGAAGTTGGTTTAGGTTCTCATGCATGCCGTGGGCTCATGTGAAAGGGTTTTTTTTTGTGGTTGTTGTTGTTTTTTAGAAAGTTAACCCTAGAATAAACAAGGTTATCTGAAGTCACTATACAGCAGTGTTTTTTTGACAGCAGCAGCACTGTTGACATTTTGAGGCAGAAAAGTCATTGTTCCCATATTCATTGTACCACCTTCCAGTTGAGGCAACCAAAAATATGTCCAGTTTGTCAAATGTCCCATAGGAGGCAAAATTGCTTCTGGCTGAGAATCATTGATATAGGTAAGAAGGGATTTAGGCAATACTCTTGTCAGTTTTGAGCCAAATTATTTTTATAATTTTCATTTATTTTTATTATATAAATAGTACATTTTCTGCTGTGAAAAAAGGGGAGAATAAAAGATAGTCCAAAACAAGTAGTGTTCACTGAAAATCCCACTTTCTAGGGATTCCTGCTATTTCATATATATATATATAAAACAGATTTTTAAAAATATATTCTATGTGTATGTGTGTATACTTGTGGTATGTGAATGTGTGTGTGTGCATGGATAAGTGTGGGAGCAATATAGATAATGTGGTGATCTGAAAAACTACATGGATCATTCCATCCTGTATTTTTTTGTTGTTGGTTTTGTTTTGTTGTTGTTGTTGTTTGGTACCAGGGATCAAACTCCGGATGAATTACAGTTTGAAACTTGGATTTTTAATAGCTATAAAGCATTATTGTTACCCTAATTTGTGTCTAACTTTGATTTGTTTCTTCATTTGATTTGAGTGTATTTTGTAGCTAAAAAGAAACACCATTATGTAATCCCAAGTGGAAAAGTGTACTCACCAAATCAGGATACTCATTTACAGTCCCATCCATCCATTACACAGAAGTTTGTGATGAAATACTGAAAAATAACTGATACTTTCCATCTTCTGTTGTCAATTTGTTGTTCTTGCTTACAAAGAACAAAGTATTACATTTTTATTTTTCAATAAAAAAATCCATTATATAAAAACCCCATTTAAGTGTTTCATTTGGATAGTATTTTAGCCTTGTTTCCAGGTTGGTGAAAGTGTACAACTTCTAATTCAGAGTTAATCCTTTAGCCCAGTGATGGCAAACCTTCTAGAGCTTTCGGTGACATTGACAGCCCTCTGCCGCATGCATCCCATAGGTTTGCCACCACTGCCCTAGCCTCTTGAGTAGGGGAAGTATAAGGTGGTACTTATCCTTACGGTTTCTACTGAATTATAAATTCTTTCAGCTGGTTTTTGTAAATAATGATACAGTAATGCCTCAGTTCATGAATGTATCTGTTTGCAGACAAAATCATTCAGCAAAATTTTGCTTCCATTCAAAAACTCCACATCCGGTGACTAACCCAGTCATGGCCTCTTCCCCACACAAACACAAATGGATCCATCTTCCCCAGAATCATAAAACAAATTAAGTTTGTAAACTGAGGTATCACTGTATGTGGTCATTTCTATAGCTTGAAAAGAATTAAAGCAGAAATTACAGTATTTGAGTTGCAGAAGGCAATGCTCTTGCTTGTACTTCATCTAAGGAAAAGTGCTTTTTAACCATAGTGATCAGCTGAATCCTACCGGTGGTTCTCAGAATACTTTTTTGTGTGTTTATTTGTACAATTTGTTCCATTTCATCCTCATTTGATTGTATTCTGTCTTCTGTTCCTCTAACCTGTCCCACCTACCTCTCCAAGACTAATTTTCTCCTTTCTTCAGTCTGGGCAGACAGTTCTGGAATCTGCTTTAATCATTTCTAGTGACATTCAGTTACTTATTCTTCTGTACTGTCCTTTTTCATCTTTGTCTAACCAGTGGCAGACATTTTAGTTCAGCTTACTAAGAAATAACTTTACATAGCAAACCAGAAGGCCTTCAGGTGAATTTATAAATAGCCAAAGTAAAGCCTCAAGAACCAATACAGTCCTTACTCTTCCCATGTGTACATCCTTGTTAGTTTATTCTGTTTCACTTTTGAAAATGCTAGTCATGAACCATTGAACTGATTTAGACTTACAAGTAGATTACAGCCCAGGGTCCAAAAAACATTATTCCATTATTCTTTCATCATTATATTGACCTGCAGTTTTGGGATTTTAAGCATTTTCCCCCTTACTCCTTTTTGTGTTGTAGCGCATTTGTACTGACTTTAATCTCTCCCTGGAATTCTCCTCCTTAAATCTGTAAGGCTAGCTCCTCCTGTACATTTGGCTCCTATTCCAAATGTCATAGGTACTTCCAGGGACTTCCTTGGCTCATCTAACTTCAGTTATTCATTTGATGACAGCACAACACCATGTCTTTTTTTCTTTGTGGCATTTACAGATACAGTGGACCTTTGACTTACAAACTCAAATCAGTTCTTGAGGGCTGGTTGTAACTCTAGGTGGTTGTAAGTCAATACAGCTGAGATCTGGATGTTTACCTGTATACATGCTATAGATAACAAGAGGCAGATGAATCTTCCATTAACCTAATTAGCCCAAGTTGTTCATATGTCAGGCTAGTCATAACTTGAGGGTCCACTGTATCTGAAATTAATTATTTGTGTTTTGAATTTCCCACCTTCCTTTACCACCTACCAATTAGAGTATGGACTCTATAAAGAGAGAGAGCTTGTATGTTTTATTACCATATCCCAAGCTCCTGAAATAATACCTGGCACCTAGTAGATGCTCATACAGTTGAATTAACAAAATAGCACTTTGCTCAGGTTTTTGTGTTGCAAAAGTAAAGCTGTGAGTGCAGTGCAGTAAAGTTGCTATAATCAGTATTCTTCATGAATTAAACACAATACTTTTCATGAGTGTCTGGCCCACCATGTGTAATAATACCACTAACCATTGATTGAGTGTGAAGGATGTGGCAGCCACGGCTTTACAGGTGTTCTTACATTTACCTCACAATAACTCTGGGATAAGTGATGGATTCCTAGTTTGACAGATGAAGGAACCAAACCTCAAACATAAGTACAGGCATACCTTTTATTGCACTTCACTTCGTTGAGTTTCACAGATACTGGATTTTTTCATTTTTACAAATTGAAGGTTCGTGACAACCTGTGTCTAACAAGTCATTTGGCCATTGGCATCGTTTTTTCAACAGCATGTGCTCAGTTCATTCAGTGCTCTATTTCACATCTTGGAATTCTCACATTATTTCAGACTTTTTTGTTGTTACTTTTACCTGCTACAGTGACCTGTGATCATTGGTCTTGGATGTTGCTGTTGTAATTGTTTTGGGATACTACGAACCACACCCACATAAGACAACAAACTTGACCAAAGAAATGTTAGGTGTGTTGTGACCACACCAGTGGGCCCTTCTCCCATCTTTTTCTCTCTTATAGGCCTCCCCATTCCTTGAGACAATAATATTAAATTATGCCAGTTAGTTGTGCTACAGTAGCCTGCACATGTTCAAGTGGAGAAAGAGTAGCACATCTTTAACATTAAATAAAAAGCTAGACATGATTAATGAAGGTATGTCAAAGGCAAGATAGACTGCAACCTTGACCTCTTATGCCTCTTAGCCTAATTGTGAATGCAAAGGCAAAGTTCTTACAGGAAATAAAACATGTTGGTCCAATAACCACAGGATGGGAACAGTGAAATAGACATTTCTAATACAGAGAAAGTTTTAGTGGTCTAGATAGAACATCATACCCACCACAACATTCCTATAAGCCAAAGTCTAATTTAGAGCAAAGGCTTAGTTCACTTCAATTTTGTGAAGGCAAAGAAATGAGAAAACTGCACAGGAAGAACTGGAAGCTGGCTGAGATTAGTTCATGAGGTTTACAGAAGGAATCTATTTCAGTGAAATAAAAGTGCAAGATGAGGCAGCAGTCCTGATACTTAAGCTGCAGCAAGTAAGCCAGAGATCTAACTAAGATAATTGCTGAAGGTAGCTACACTAAACAGATTTTCAGTGCAGATAAAACAGCCTTATATTGGAAGAAGATGCAGTCTAGTACTGTACTTTTCATAGCTAGAGAGGAGAACTCAATGCCTGAACAGGCTGACTCTTGTTAGAGCATAGTGCAGCTGTTGACTAAATTGAAGCTAATGCTCGTTTACCACTTCAAAACCCCCTAAGAATTCTATTAAGTCCTAAATGTATTCTTCCTGTGCTACGTAAATGGAAAAAACAAAGCCTGGATGGCAGCACATTTCCTTACAATATGGTTTACTGGATATAAGCCTGCTGTTGAAAATTCACTGCTTACAGGGGAAAAAATCCATTTCAGAATATTTGTGCTCATAGACAGTGCTCTTGGTCACCCAAGAGCTCTGATGAAGATATACTATGAAATTAATGCTTCACGTCTGCCAACACAACATCCATTCTGCAGTCCTTGGATCAAGGAGAAATTTTGACCTGCTAGTCTTAATATTTAAGAATTACATTTCATAAGCCTACTGAGGTTATAGATCGTGATTCAATTGATGGATCTGCGAAGTAAATTGAAACTTCAGAAAAGCATTCTGGATGCCTTTATGAACATTCATGATTCATGGGAGCAAGTCAAAATAGCAACATTACCAGGAGTTTGGAAGCAGTTAACTCCCAACTCTCATGGATGACTTTGAGGGGTAGGAGTACACAACTTCAGTGAAAGAAGTAACTACAAATGTAGAGGAAACAGCGGGAGAACTAGAATTAGAAGTAGACCCTGAGGATGTGACTGAATTGCTGATATCTCATGGCAGAATTTGAATGGATAAAACATTCCTTCTTATCAATGAGCAAAGGAAGTAGTTTCTTGAGATAGAATCTACTTCTGGTGAAGATACTGTGAACATTGTTGAAATGACAATGGATGTAGTATATTCCACAAACTTAATTGATAAAGTAGAATTTTAGGATTTACTCTTATTTTAAAAGGCAAAATGCTGTCAGACAGCATCAAATCCTACAGAACAAATCTTTTGTGAAAAGATTCTTGTCTTGTGGCAAGCCTCTTTGTTGTCTTAAGAAATTGGCTCAGCCAGGTGTGGCAGTGAGGGAGTCAGATTAGTTAACGACATTACACACCTGTAATCCCAGCACTCTGAGGCTGGGACAGAGGATAGCAGTTTGAGCTCAGCCTGGGCAACTTACTGCTCTGCAGATGTAGCTCAGTGGCGCCACACCTGCTCGGCAAGGGCAAGGTCCTGAGTTCCATCCTGGTACTAAAAAAATAAATAAACAAAAATAGAATAAGGGCTGGAGGCGTAAGTCAGTATGCAGACCCTGGGTTCAATCCCCAGTACTGGGGAGTGGGGGGAGAAAAGAAATTGCCACTACCACTTCAGTCTTCAGCAGCCACCACCCTGTAGCTATCAGCATTAAAGACAGACCTTCCACCAGGAAAAAATTCATGACTTGTTGAGTGTTCAGGTAGTCATTAACAGTTTTTTTGTTTTTGTTTTGAGACAGGGTCTCACTATGTACCCCAAGCTGACCTCGAACTCATAGCAATCTTCCTGCCTCAGCCTCTCAAGTGCTGGGAATATAGGTGTGCACCACCATGCCCAGCCTCATTAGGACTTCTTGACAAAATATTTAAAAATTAAGATGTGTACGTTTTTAGACAATACTATTTTATGCTCAGTAGAATACAGTGTAGAATAAACATAATTTATTTTTATGCATTAGGGAGCCAAAAAAAAAAATAATGTGCCTCACTTTATTGCAGTAGATCCAAACTCACGATATTTCTGTAACATGCCTTCAGGCTGTGATTTGATCTCCTGTAGTATGCTTATTCTTGATTAGAACCCTGTAATATCTATCATAAGGCTGAGACTCTCAGAGGCAAGGAATTTTAAATTGTCACAGTGAGCATTTTTGTCCTGTGGAATGCTTTGAATTGAATACGCTGTTTATGTCTGTAAGAAAAATTGATGGAATTAAAAAAAATAACATGAAAATAATGTTTGGACTTCTCTGTTTTTTTATCACCAGTTCAAAACCTCTCTCTCTCTCTCCCTCCCCCCTCTCCCTCTCTCCCTCTCTCCCTCTCTCCTTTCTTTCTTTTCTTAATAACCATTTTTTTCTTTCCAAATAGTTTGTGGAGAAGTTTCTGTCGGGGAGGAAGAAGGTGAAGGTGAAACTGGCTGGATTGAAGGAGCCGCAATCCTGTTGTCAGTGGTGTGTGTGGTATTAGTAACAGCTTTTAATGATTGGAGTAAGGAAAAACAATTTAGAGGCTTGCAAAGTCGAATTGAACAAGAACAGAAGTTCACCGTCATCAGGGGTGGTCAGGTCATTCAGATTCCTGTAGCTGACATTACTGTTGGAGATATTGCTCAAGTGAAATACGGTAAGTAAAAGTGAACAATGCATCTGACTCTGAATGTACAATTGTTAGGTAATTTCCTTTATAGTTTAACATAGGACTGCTTTTTGTTTTAGGTGATCTTCTTCCAGCTGATGGTATACTTATTCAAGGCAATGATCTTAAAATTGATGAAAGCTCATTGACTGGTGAATCTGATCATGTTAAGAAGTCTTTAGATAAGGATCCCTTACTTCTATCAGGTGTGGATTTCTTCTGTAAACTTTGAACTTTTCCTTCCTTCATACCTATGTACCATTGTCAGCAGACATAGTTACTTCCCTATGAGCCAATAATGTGAAATCAGTTTTTAATGCTAGCATATCCTTTCATTCATAAGAGACTTTATGAGATGACAGAAATAATGTAGGTCTTTGAATCCAGAGGTTTATTTTACAAATGAGTAACCTGAATCCAAATAAGTCAGAGATTTGAAAGTCAGTGTTAATGTAATGATAAAACTGAAATATTTTTTGAATTGTTTTGGTTTTCTTTTTCACATTCTTAATGCCTGTTGAGATATAAAAGAATGACTGTAGGTTGAAAACATCTTAATGAATGTGCTAATGTACAAAAGATAGGACTTTTTTTTTTTAGAGAAAACTGATAAAATCTTTAAAGTCTACCTAATCCTACTCTATTATTTAACTTTTGAATGAATCTGAGGTTTAAACTGTTTATCTAAGGTTATATGCCCAACAGAAAGCATTCACATGTTACTGGTAAGGAATAAATGTACAGTTGAAGAAGAAGTTGTCCTAGGACTGGAAAAGACGGATTTACGTAGATGAGGGTACTGTTTGAAAAGGAGAGTACATGTCTGTGTGGGAGCCTCTTGTTATAGCCTAATTGTGATGAGTTTAACTAAAGTTTGCTGGAAATAAAATAGAAAGGATTGTGCAAAAAATTGTAAGATGCCGTCTAACACACTGAATGTGAGGAAACCAGGATATCACAAATTAACTCCAAAACCATGCTAATTCTTCAAATTTGAATTGGTAAGTTTCTTATTCTACTTTGCCATTAGTCTTTCCAGAATTATGAAATCATTTATCAGAATTATGTTAGATTAAATTTATACTAGTGTTTGGGAGAATCTTCTATTATCACTCAGATATTAATGGAATACTAATATTTTACACATTGTCTGAAGATTACAGCTAATTTAACTATTTAATAACCTGAGGGCTGTAATTTTTTCAGACCTTCTCTGTGAGCTTTATTATTTAATTGGTTGAACATGATTTTAATAAAACCAAAATCAAACCTGTGATTAAAACATGGGAGCAGAACCTTTTTTAAGATTCGTAAATATGAAATGAAAAAACCTACTGCAAAAAAAAAAAGTCACAGTAGGTAACATGTATATGTGTCCCCCCAAAATTACTTTAAAAAACATAGTATTTATCTGTATATACATTGACTAAATACCACTTTAAAGTAGGATAAAGTTCCAATTGTAATATACACTTACATATTATCAAAAGAACTTGAGATTTGTGTACTTACAGTATCTTGCACAACTTAGTTTTTCATATTGCTGTGCTTGCAATTCATATTAAATAGAAATGTTTTGTATGTATAATGATAATGTACTTAGGTAATGTGTACCCATTTTTCTTATTCTTTGCCATGCTTCTAAGAAATGTTAGATAGAATCTATAACCTTTCCAGAGGAAAGTGTCCAGTCATACCTTAGCACTGCAGATTAACTGGGCCATGGTATTTGGCAGCTTGATAGAGTCTCCTATTGTGTTTGTTGCTTTTGCTGAATACATAGTTCAAGAATTCATGGACTTTTATGTACATCTAGCTCATTTACATAGTGCTTAGCAGTTCAGGTTGATTTCCTTCTATTGAACCTTGGTCCTTTTCTATTTTGACATAGATGACTGGTTAGCTTTATTGTAGACTCAGGTTCCTAACACACCAAGTGTACCAAGAAAACTCTAAATTTTCCATTTTTGAGAAGAGACTAAAATAACTTTGTAAAGTCTCTTATCGCAGTACGGGTGGGAAAGTTTTTCTGCATTTATTTCCGTGTTGTAGAAATGTACTAACAAACATGAAATATATTTATTTTTAAATTTACTCTGATGATGCCATCTCTCACTGCTGTTCTTGGCATCTTAAATTTAGATTTTTAAAAGCAGTATTCAGTTATTCGGGGGATATGACCTGAACAAAAATTGTTTATTTTGCCTGAGTACATTAACTGCCAGTATCCATTCAGACTTGGGCTAAGGAAGACCGGAACAGAAAAATTGAAGTCTGCAGAAAGCAAGAATTACAAGAAGCAAATTGTCTTTTCTTTTTAAGACTTACTAATTATTTTATTTGTTTCCTTTTCATTTTCACTATCAAAGAATCTAATACTCTGTAACATTCAGAAGAATGTAGGTTTCTAAAGGCAAGAAAATCAAATACCTGAATGTTGATACTGGTTAAGTTACTCAGTAGTAGCCAAATATAAATCCTTAAATACAGGAGTAAGTATATATGTATTATCATCTTATTTAGCAAACAATGTTTGAGCATTGATTTGAATACATAAGATGGTGTTAGGTGCTGCAGACCTCCCTTCTAGAAGATTAAGAAGTGATAATTTTACAGGAGAGTTTATTCAGTGAAAGTTTTGAAGTCTGATTAAAATTAACAAAAAAGATTGGACTCTTAAGTGGGTTGGGAAGCCTTTTAGTGAGTAAGGAAGAATGCAAGGATGAAAGCAAACTTATTGTAGGAAGAATATACTCTTTGTCCTCTGATAGAGCTGGATTGAATCTCTGCCTTGTCAGCTCATAGTTGTATAGCCTCAGGCAAGTTTCTAGAAAATAAGAATAATAACCCCTGCCAACTTGCAAGATCCTTGTAAGGGACACAGTCAGAATTCTGCTCCCTAGCTTTTTTGTTATTGTTGTTTTTTGGTACTGGGAATCGAACTCAGGACCTTGTGCTCGCAGGGCAGGCAACAGCACCACTGAGCTAAATCCCTGGCCCTGCTTCCTAGCTTTTTATCATGAAATTTTATGTTAGAGTAATGGATGAGAAAATTTGAAATGTTGGTTGATCTCAGAAATATTCATTAGACTTTAATCCATTAGGTAATGTAGAATTAGAAAGTTTTGAGCCACAAGAAGCATATGAAGAAATCACATTGTAGGACTTCTAAAAAAGATTTCCAGGTGAACTGAAAAGGCAGAGAGACTTGTTAGGGGACAAGGCAGGCTAGGTGAAAGCCTGGGTTAGATTGAGGTTGTGGAGTTAATATGGGAAATATGCCATTCATTGCTATGGAATTCTTTTGATTATAAGCGGATTTCTTTATAAACATTGTGTTTCTCAGAGAAATATCCTTCATACCTTATAATTAATAATCATGAGCATTCATTGAACCCCTGCAAATTCAAAAGATTATGCTAAGCACTTTATATTTATGGACTTGGTGGAAAAATGTAAACTGCATTACATTTCTATAAGTACTGTTTTCCCCATTTTACAGATGAGGAATTAACGTTATAATTTGCCTAGTATCACATGGAAAGTGATAGAATGAGCTTTCAGTTTGCATGAGTCTGATTACACAGTTAAAACCTTAAGCACTGTCTTATTAAATACTGAGAGTACCAAAAGCAATTTTAAAATTTGGTGGTAGGAAAGAAACCTATCATTTTTACAAAGTCTTCTGTTGTAGGTACTCATGTAATGGAAGGTTCTGGCAGAATGGTAGTTACTGCTGTAGGTGTAAATTCCCAGACTGGAATTATCTTTACCTTACTTGGAGCTGGAGGTGAAGAGGAAGAGAAGAAAGATGAGAAGAAAAAGGAAAAGAAAAGTAAGAACGACTAGATCATGGGAACTGATATAGAAAACATTCAGGGGATTCGGATATGAAAAATTGTAAACAAAATGACCCACAATTGTACTTTAGATTAGTAGTATTTAAAAGAGAGATGTTTTTTCATTTAGATTTAAGTCCATTAAGGGTCTTCAGTCAATACCATAGTCTCTGCCATAGCCAGACAGATTCAGCTTGTACTTGAATACTTCCACTAACTTTGTTCTGTTTACTCTAGTTTTAGAATTTTTCTGCCATTTAGTCAGCAGAATGAATTCAACACTCACTTCTTATTTGCATTTTTTGTTTTTTTCTTGCCTCTTCAGTAGTAGCTTTCTTTGTCAGCCCTACCACATTTTAGTCTCATTGAACTTTTAATCTTTTTCAAATTTTTTGCTACTCACATTTCATTCTGTACTTAAACAATTGGCTTACTAAACACAAGACTAGAACTTCGCCTTTACACTTCTTCTTATATTCAGTCCATTGTTAGATATCAGGACCTCATATTTTAATCCATTGGAGGAGTATCTGCTTATCCCTCGGGTTATCTGTCAGCAAACTTGATAACCTTACAATTTATCCACGTACATAGGGAAACAGGACACAGTCTCTCAGTTGGGAGGTATGCCACTTTTAAAAGGCCCTCTGGATCCTGCTTCCCAATGCCTGCTGTACCACCCTTCTCTCCCACTCAGAAGTCATTCTGTTTTACTCTTTCAATAGCTAAAGTCTTAGTTTGCTATAATTACAGCATTTGTTTTTTTTTCTTTTTTGGGGGGATGTGGGTGGTGGTGGTAGTGATAGTGCTGCTCCTTGATTCAAGTCCTGGGCTTCTTACACATACCAGGCATGTGCTGTGCCACTGAGCTACACTTCTAGTCCCTACAGCAGTTTTTAACATATGGATAGGTTGTTTTGTTCTTTGAGTTTTATATTTAATTATAAAATCCTTATTGCATTCAAAATTATATTTGAAAAGTTTGGCTGCAAGTGAGAGTGGCAGACCCCTTATTTTTAGGTTCTCCTACTCCAGCCTCAAGGCACCCCTCAGTGAGCTTCCATAATCTCTTAAGGCCAAATGGAGTGCAGCTGGAAAATCAGTAATAATGACTATGAAGTGCCTTGCATGCTCCATTTCATTGATCCTCATAGCCAGCATTAGTAACTGACAAATCAAACCATCTTCTCTCTGCTCCATTGTAATATATAGGAGTTAAAAGTCATCAGACCCTGTTTAAAAAGGTGGGGAGGCTTGCATCATTACTTTATTCTCATTGGCCCACGGTGTCATTTCCAATAAGTATCTTTCCCCTTAATGTCTTGTACAACTGTTTTTCTTAATCTAGCCCAGAATATTCCTAGGAATTAATGTCTAACTCTTTGTGTAACTTTTTACTTTTCTTTTCATAAAACAAGACATTTTTCCTCTTGTGGCCATCAGCCCTTTCTATTCTCTTGACTGCTTTGGCGACTACTCAAAAAGCAGTGCAGGGTAATCTGTCTCAGTTCCCTCTACAGCCTGGACTATGGTTATTTGGTCTCGCCAAACTTGAACTCTTTTCAAGTAGCTGGGTATTCTCTTACTATATCTTTATCTATCCTGAGCTTCTATTCCTTCTGCCCATATTTGTTCCACGTTTTCCAGTTTGAAGATAGTTCTCCTTGATAGAGAAGTTGAAAGAAAATAAGCTGAATGGTTCTGCTGCTTTTTTTGGTCATTTTTAATACATTGCCTACTCCAAACAGTAGACTTGTGTCCTCCTTGATTACTTTATTGCCCCAGACATTTCATCTTTCTGTATTTTCCAAATCCAAGCCAACTTTTGGGGGATTACCTCAACTGGTACATTTCTGGCTCTGTCTGTCTGTATTGTAGTTTTACTAATTTGCCTTTCCTGTCCTTTATACATCTTTTTGTTCTCACTCCCACCAAAAGCTCTCCTGTGTGCTTGTTGTCTTTTGTCTTTTTATAACATTACTGCCTCCTCTATCCTTTTCCTTTTCTGCTTTCTTACAGTAATGTCTGTATTTAGTTTCAAAATCTCTTGTACCATATTTGGGATTATTACCACATATAAAAAAGTCTTATGAAGAAATCAAATTCAGATCGACATGCAGGTTATTTTGGAGTATTCCCCTGAGTTGTGTCCTAGGGATGATTGACATTACGAGCCAAATGTTTTCACAACACACACACTCACATGCACACACGCACACCACGTTGTATAACAATTCTGTTATAGAAATGTGAACTACCTTTGCATAATTTAGCAGGGCTGTATTCGTTTCTTTTGGAAAGCTTTAATTCCCATTTTGTTCCTACAGATAAGAAACAAGATGGAGCTATTGAGAATCGAAACAAAGGTAAATTCAGTCAGATAAAAGTTAGCTTGTTTTCATTATAACCAAAAATAAATCTACTGTGTACTATTTCTGTCCAAAATTAGGATGCGTGTGGCAGGGAGCATCAACAGTGTTTCTTAACTTGGGTTAACCTCTCTTCCTTCCAGTGCCTTAGTCATGCTGTCTCTATAATGTTAAGATATTAATTAGTGGTAGTGCGCTTATGTAGGTACCTTTCCACATAAGCATTTTGAGTATTGTAATATACTTGAATTGTTATTTAATATATAGTAGATACAGAAATCCATAAGAAACAACATACTATGTAAAGTTTTGTTTGTTTGTTTGTTCGTTTGGGCACTACTTGGGATTGAACCCAGGGCTTTGTGCATGCTGGGCAAGCACTACTACAGAGCTACATTCCCAGCCTGCGTGTAAGAATCTGTAAATACACATACATATGGTCATACATGGTGCTGTACATTGTGATCGTAAATTATCTGAGAGGGATTTGCCAGAAAAGAAATGATTTAGGACTCCTTAGTTCTTAGTTTAAGGACCCTGTAGTTCTTACTTCTCATTCTCATCACCTAGTATGACATTCTCACATCTGCTACAGTTTTACAACTTAATGCGTTATTCTCTTATTGATAAATATAACACACACAAACTCACACATCTCAGCTGAATGCTTATACTTTTTCTACTATCTATAAGAAATGGATTTTTTAAATTGCTTCAAAGTGGTAATAGTGTTATGTGCCTTTAAAGTGCCTTAACATTACATTTGTGCTTCAATGTAGCAAAAGCTCAGGATGGTGCAGCCATGGAAATGCAGCCATTAAAGAGTGAAGACGGTGGAGATGGTGATGAGAAAGACAAAAAGAAAGCAAATTTGCCAAAAAAGGAAAAATCCGTTTTACAAGGGAAACTAACAAAACTGGCTGTTCAGATTGGCAAAGCAGGTATGATAGAGGAAAATAAGGTGTTCTGTTTTAAAATAAGCACATTTCTTCACTTTAAAAATCGTCTTTTGACACAGTGTAAGGGTTGTTAAAAATATTTGTATCCATAATGTACCTGGCTCTTGAGTTACTATAGATATTCATAATATCCCTGCAGTTTTGGGTGTTATCTTTGTATTAGATAAAGAGAGTTGTCCTCTGTCAGCTAGCTAATAAGTGGTCAGGTCAGAATTTGCTCATTTTATGAGGCCAGGTGCTCTAAATTTCTCTGGATTCCTGCAGCAGTAGAGAGCAAAAGATTGCTGTGAGTTTATTCAGTACAAATTATCCAGTTATAAAGAGAAATTTTATCACACATTTCGCTCATCCTTTTGCTGGCTTTCTATGAAAAGTAATTATTTGTGTTTTTCTAAACATCACTAGAATACAGGCACCTGTTAATAGCATACCACCAGCATTATCATCTGTTCGAAAGAACACTGAAAATAAATCAGCATATTATTAAAATCACTTAAGTTGCATCATTGTAACATTCCAGGAGTGTGTTGGAAGTTTTTGCTTCTATCCCCAGTAAGCTCATTATCTAATAACAAATATTTGCTCCTGTAACAATGTAGCCAAATTGTAATATTGACTCCTTAAAGAGTCAATTCAGATAATACAGTTGTGTGCATGTGTGTGTTAAACATAAGGTTGAATATTTAATTCTGAGCCTCCCTACTTATGACATTCTTACTGCCTTCTCTTTCAGCATTAGGCAAGTTACCTGTTAAATGTAAAGCACCAGCTTATGCTAAGCTTTCGGTGGTTTTCTTTGTTATTTTGTTTCAGCATTAGTAGAATTCAGAAGATAAATTAATTCTGAGAATCATGAATACTTGCCTCTCAATTCTTTCGGTCAAGGCTATATCTAGAAGTAAAATGTTCATCTGACAATGTCTAGTAATCAGGTGCAAAAAGTTCTTAGAGAAATTAAAATGAATATGGAATCAGTTATAACAGTTTACAGTAGCTAATGTGTAATTGGAGATGGATAGTGTCTGATATACTTAAATGATTGCATTTTTCTCCCCTTTTTTTCCTATCCTGGAAGGTCTGTTGATGTCTGCCATCACAGTTATCATTCTAGTATTATATTTTGTAATTGATACATTCTGGGTTCAGAAGAGACCATGGCTTGCTGAGTGCACACCGATTTACATACAATATTTTGTGAAGTTCTTCATTATCGGAGTTACGGTTTTAGTGGTCGCAGTGCCAGAAGGTCTTCCACTTGCAGTCACTATTTCACTGGCTTATTCAGTCAAGGTTAGTAGGAGATGGCTAAGTAGACGTACTGTGTTTAAAGCCTCAGCTGGCTTTCAAGCATCCATCTTGATGTTTCTTCCAAGATGGTTTGCAGGTAAAACATTATATTTAACAGAAGAATGGTGGCCTCATAAATTTTGAAATGTTGGGGCCGGGGATTTAGCTTAGTGGTTCCCCTGTCTGCCTTGCAAGCACAAGGACCCAAGTTCAATCCCCAGTACCAAAAAAAAAAAAAAAAAAAAATTTGAAATGTTAATTACCAGTTCTTAAATAACAGTTGTTTACAGTAAGAAATATAATTAATCATAGTTTCTGCTCTAGCACTCACATTTTCAGTAAAAGCTTTACAGTAGACCTGTCATAAAAATGGTTTTTTGCTTACTTTATGAGTTTATTTTCTTTTCAGGTATTTAATAGCTTTTGTTTATAATATAAAAGGGTAAATGTATCAAAGTCATGATATACTATGTGGAGACCATCTCTTTGTCTTTTTGTTTTGTTTTGTTTTTTGTTTCTGGTATGGGGGATCGAACTCAGGACCTTGCACTTGCAAGGCAGGTGCGGTGCCACTGAGCTAAATCCCCAGCCATCTTGTCTTTTTTTTTTGTATTAAAATACTTGAAATAATTGGGGTAAATACATGTTTTAGACACACTGGTTAGTCATTTTACCAATACTGCTATTAGTTCTTCTTGAAGTTATTAATGACGTTAACTTCTCAAGCAGTCATAAATATATAGACAGAATGATATGTGCTCCTTGAATAGAACATGAATGGGAACCTTTTAACTAAAGTTAAGTCTTTGTTACGTGTTTCTTTAGCCCTGATGTTACCAGTTACTGTTCCTTTCACTGTAGTGTAGTCTTTATGGATCCTGTGTTAGTGTTTCACAGAATTTTACAATGTCTTTACTATGGGCTTCATTCTTTTAATCTTTAAAAATGCAATCACAGGGCCGGGGATTTAGCTCAGTGGTGCCGCTGCCTGCCTCACAAGCATAAGGTCCTGAGTTAAATCTCCAGTACCCGCCCCCACCAAAAAAAATGCAAGTCACAAGTAATTTGGGAAGTACATAGTTCTCTTCTCCATATTTATTTCTTCAAGGAACTGGTTTTTTACACTATCTTGCATATTAGTAGTCACAGGAAAAATGTTGTAAAAGAATTCTATGTAGTTTTTCACCCATTCCATGTATGAAGAATTATTCATAATGTATTTTAACTTAAATATTCATTGTGAAAATTCCTAATTTTTTAGAAATGATCTTTTTTAGTTGTAAATCAGAAAATGGTAAGAAATATTTTGATCCAAAAGATTAAAATATCAAATTTACTAGCATATGGAATAGATAAAAATGATCCAGTCATGGTTGTGGTGTGCTAATTCAGTCTATTACAGTTTTTTTAAAAAAGCAACTACATGCCCCAGGCTCTTTATGTTATCTGATTAAAGTATTTTCCTCGAAGATTGATACAGGAATTTTGTTTTCTACTTAATAGGATACTTAGTCCTTTTTCTTACACTACTGTAAGTACCGTTGTATTTATGGTACAGAGTCTAATTGTTCTTATAATGTGAGGACACTTGCCTGAGCCTGTTGGAGGAATATAGTCAATATAGTTTTGTATATAGGTGCAGGTATTTGTATTCATGAGACTGTCTTATTCAGAGTGATGTAAGCCACAGAAAAGTTAGTACTCTTCAGTTGATTCGACTAGGTCAAATATGCTAAAATTTTCCCAGTATTAAATCAGTACTTTTATATAAGGCAGGAAGTTTTATTTCTGATTATATCATTTTACTGTAATCAGGTGATTAGTTTTATATGTACCTTAACTCAGTTTTTGTTTTGTTTTGTTTTGGTCACTGCAGAAAATGATGAAAGATAATAACTTAGTAAGGCATCTGGATGCTTGTGAAACCATGGGAAATGCTACAGCTATTTGTTCAGATAAGACAGGAACATTGACAATGAACAGAATGACAGTTGTTCAAGCTTACATAAATGAAAAACATTATAAAAAGGTTCCTGAACCAGAAGCTATTCCACCAAATATTTTGTCCTATCTTGTGACAGGAATTTCTGTGAATTGTGCTTATACATCAAAAATATTGGTAAGGTTTCTTTAATAATTCATTTATATAATGAACGTTAATTTTTAACTGTAATGATTCAATTACATGTATTCCTTCACATCTATTATGTTTATATATGAATTGAACTGAATTCTATTAATGTAATTTAAGACATATTCATAAAATGTGTATGCCTTTAGTATATTTATAGTATAGTAAGATCTGTTAATTGAGGTACACATTGTATTGTATCTTTCTGCATTTTGAATTTCTTCTATGTATAAAATATAAAGCCTTATAACTAGAACACATTCTTAATGGTAAATTTTTGTTAAGCTCATTTTATGAATTACCAGGCTGTATAGGAAGTAAGCCCTCAGGTTTTTGTTTTTACAGAAAACTTTGAAGCCAGATTTCAACTTAAAATAACATCTTTTATGTATGCTTGCTGTGGGCTCTGTTTGGATTCTCAATAATTTTTACCTATAAGGTTGTCCTTAGACCTTTTTGGAACTAATAATTATAGACTTGTGCCTGAATATTTTCACCTTTACAAGCTTTACAAATCTTACTTGTAAGAGAAAGGACAAAGTTTATGTTTGACTATATCTTCTTGTGATTTATATATGAAAACCACAAAAGATATTGCAAGTTGTTTAATTAGTGAAAACATACATGAATTGGATGAATGGACTGGAAAGTTTGAGATCTTAATCGTAGAGCTCGGTTTGCCTTTTACTAGCTCCAAATCTAAGATACAACTTTCTTTACTAAATAGAAGTGAGCATATCTGCTTTAATACTGTTGTTATGCATATATAAGGCAGAGTTTGTTCAGGCACTATAGAGATACTAAAGCATTTTTAAATTAAGCCAACAGTACTTTATAAAGCCATAAAAGTAGATTGGTAAATTAGATTTTATTTTTAATTATGTAATATAAATGGTCAATGAAAACAAAAAGAGAAAAAAGAAAGATGTTAAATTTAAGTTTCACTGTGTATCAGAAGCCAACGATGAACTTTATCCATCTCATTATGTTTGGGTCATGATTGTACCTGGTTTACAGATGCTGAAGCCAAGGACCACAGCAGTTGGGTAACTTGCCAGAGGTCCACATAACTAGTGACTAGCAGGACTGAGATTGGAATTTGTGTCATTCTTACCCCCAGGTTCCTTTCTATGTCTTTGTTTCTATATCTTCTTTAAAATGCTGGTATTAGTAGACATTTACTACATTATAAAATTGTTTTACAGTATCACTTTCCATTTCACATTATAAAACTTTTGTAGGGAAACACCGTGGTACTGGCTTCTAAAGTTTTTCTTTCTTACAGCCACCAGAGAAGGAGGGTGGATTACCTCGTCATGTTGGTAATAAAACTGAATGTGCCTTGTTGGGATTTCTTTTGGATTTAAAACGGGATTATCAGGATGTTAGAAATGAAATACCAGAAGAAGCACTGTATAAAGTCTACACCTTCAATTCTGTTCGGAAGTCCATGAGCACTGTCTTGAAAAATTCAGATGGAAGCTTTCGAATATTCAGCAAGGGTGCCTCTGAGATAATTCTGAAAAAGTAAGAGTAAAATGCTTACTTGAATAACCTGCTGCCTGTCACTCCTTTATAGACTGCCTCTGTGTTGGTTTTGTAGTTTTCTTTTTCTAAGTGTCAAACATTTGATAGGACCTCAGAGCTTTTAAGTGTATTTTCTGGTAGCCAAATATTTGTCCTTAGTGTTTTGTCATTTTTATACTCTAGTTTCTCTTATTCCATAGTATTTTGTATAGGGAAAATAATCCCATTATATTCAGTCTGGTAGATTTAAAGAAGTAAACTTTGATGTTTGGTTTTAGACATGTTGATTTGATACAAAATTTTTTCTATCAAAGTGAGGTTTACCATATTTATGCTGTTGCAGTGTGATCTTTAAATATTTCCTTTCATTTTTATAGTAATCTTTGTTTCTTACTGTTCTTTTATAGACCAGTAACCTCAATTTTGACATTTCATGTTTACATATAATTTTCCTAATATTTTATCTATTATTACAGGTGTTGGAATTTTTGGTTTCTTTAATTCCAGTAGAGAATTACTAAAAATCAAGAGCAATTTTGGAAAATTGGAATTCATTTGAAATCCACCATTTAAAATATTTCTATTTTTAATTGCCTGTATGTGAGTTATAATCTAGTGTTATCTTAAAGCACTTGTCAGATTGTAGTCTAAACAGGCTTTTAAGAGACAAGTACATAAATAAGTAACTGAAAAAAGCAGCATATGATGAGTGGATACAGAGTCTGAGAGATTTATTGTTTAGGATGGGTTTTAGTATGAAGTGAGAAGATCAAAGCGAAGAAAGCCACAACAGGGAAGGATATGCAGGTCATTTTGTGGGAATAGGTAGTTGAATAGTTAATCCTGAGTACTGACAGGCTGGTTTTGGTACATGGGTCACATAGAGCTTTGTCTTCTCTATAGCACACCGTGCTGCTTTTCAGAGTGCAAGGCTAGAAACCTGCTTCATCCCTTGCCTGCTTGATAGCTGATAAATGGTAAAAGAGATCTTTTAATCAAGCCAACCAGGGTTTGATTCTTCCTCTGCAACTAATTATCTTTGAGAGCTGAGGCGGATTTTTTCCTTACTTTCCATTTTTGTTCACTGGAAAAGCAGATGATAACCACCAAGTCTGCAATAATGGAATTATGCATATAAATGTCTAACATGGAGCCTGATGTATGGTAAATATACAGTATTTATAAGTAAGCAAATATCTTACGAGTTCCCACAATAAAATTTACATTTTGTTTTAGAGACTTAAAATATTAGAGTCAGCAATTAAAAGTTAATTTAAATTGGCCAGGTAGTACAGTGAAGTTTTTCTTTCATCACGTAGTAAAATCTTCAAAGCTTTGACTGCAAGTAATTCTTGTATCAGGGAATAAGGTGAGTTGGTGAAAAATAATAGACTGGAGACAGATACCAATGAAAAGCCTGTTGCTATTGCAATAGCTGTAGCTATAAAAGCAAGCCAAAGAGGTAGTAAGTAGCAGGAAGGATAGAAAGGAGTGGCGTATTCAGGAGATTGTTTAGAATAGAAAGATATATAGGACTTAGGAGCTGACATTACCTAAGAGGATGAAGAAATAGTAATTCAGGTAAAATTTTAGACTTTAAAGTGATCGGGATAATGTTGATAGCCGCATGGACAAGTGAGAAGGTGACTTCCAGTCTCTAGTCAGTTAAGGTTAAGGTACTGGTATAACTTACAGGTGAAACTCCAACGGTAAAGGAAAGCTTTGAAAAACAGTCAAGACATAGGATGTGGATTTGGGAAACATTTCTATAGAAGCGGGAGGAGGTGGAATCACCAAAGGAGAGGACAATATAGAGGCACTGTGATTTTTACAACTTAAAGAAAAGGTTATAGTTACTGAAAATAAAACTATTTGGGGATTACCTTTCTCACTTAGATTGCTGGGGTTTTTTGTTTTTTGGGTTTTTTCTCCTTTTGATGGTTAAAATAACATAAGTGATGAAACAACCTCTCAGGTAAGGGTTTGATTGAACTTGACCTGTTACTTAAAAGAAAATTATTTTTTCGTGCTCACTTCGGCCACACATATACTAAAAGAAAATTATTTATGTGTTAAATAAAGTTAACATCTAATTCTGTACCAAAAATGGCCAAGTGTGTAGTTTATTCTCCTTTGCCTCTTGGGATTCTTTGTGAAAATTTAAAAGCATATTCCAAAAGAGAAGGTTTAGAACATGCAGTAACTGCTAGAGAACTTCCATTAAATGAGAGCCATACAGATTCAAACTGTTGTAAAGAAGAGAGGGAGAAGTGAATATGATTTTAGTCTGTTAAAATGCCACATACATAGTTCTCGACATTCCAGATAAGAGATTTCTTGCACTTCCTGTTCACGTAATTGGCATTAACCATTATTTTTGTTAATTATTGATGTTTGGATTTAACTTTTCCTTTTAGGTGTTTCAAAATCTTGAGTGCTAATGGTGAGGCAAAAGTATTCAGACCAAGGGACCGTGATGATATTGTAAAAACTGTGATTGAACCGATGGCATCAGAAGGCTTGAGAACCATATGTCTTGCATTCAGAGATTTTCCAGCAGGAGAACCAGAACCAGAGTGGGATAATGAAAATGATATTGTCACCGGCCTTACATGCATTGCTGTTGTGGGGATTGAAGATCCTGTGAGACCTGAGGTGGTGAATCATTCTGTGTTCTGCATGTGCAGAATCTCTTAACTATAGAGACATTAGCTGTAACCAGTTTTCTAGTAAACTTCTTAGTGTTTGTGATTTTAATTTTTTTATATGTGAACTCAAGATGAATGAAATAATAGTGTGTAATATACATGCTACCTTTTTACGGTATTTAATTGGATTCTCTTTGAGATCCTATGTATTTCTAGAATCAGAATCTAGCATTATCTTGAACTAAGTAGGCTTTTCAGTTGATATTTATTTTAAATCAGTAATAAATGCCATTAAATTGTTTTCAGTCTCTAGACCAGCACTCTCTAGTAGAGCTTTCTGTGATGATAAAAATGTTCTGTGTGTTGCTTGGCGTAGTAGCTACTGGCCACATGTGATGGCTGAGTTCTTGAGGTGTCCTTGCACAACTGAAAAACAACTTTTTACCTCATTTAAATTTAACTCTCTGGCTAATGACCATCATAACTTCGCTTTTTTTTTTTTTTAAATTATTCCCCTGTCCCTCTTTTTTTTTTAAATAATTCTTGTGTGCCAAGTACTATCCTAGGTACTAGAAATGTAAAGAATTTAGAGATCTGGTCCCTGGCCTCACAGATGTCACAGTCTTGGGTGAGACTGAACAAACATATGACCCAAGATGTTAGTTCATTGCTGACTATATATAGAGATCATGTTATATGAGCAGAGGACATGAACTCTCAACCTAGTCTAAAGTAATAGTGTCTTTTTCCTGAGTCTTAAAGGATCAGGAAGATACTAGCTAAACCAAAAGAGAAAACTATAAGTAACTCCAACAAAGAAGCAACTTAAGTAAAGCCACAAATATAGAAATTGCTTTTGTTCTACAACTTTATCATCTGATTGAACCCTTAATATATAGTACCAGGCACTGTTTTAGGAACTGGAAATACATAGTAGTCATAAATTGTATGTTTTAGAGGAAGAAACCAAATAGGTAGAGAGATGGATTCATGGACAGTATGCCACATGGGAAAAACAAATTCTGTGGGTATTTTGACTGGCCCCTGCTCTCATAGGCCTTCCATTCTGAATGTTGGGGGTGGGGGGGTGCTCTGAAGGCAGGAGTGGGAATGTGAAATCTATTAAGGGCTGTAAAGGATATAAACAGTCTGATGAAATAAGGTGACTGAGAGAGACCATAATAAAATAAAATGAGATCTGATGGGTCTCATAAAGAGCCAGACATATAAATAGCTTCAAAAAGAGCATTCCAAGCAAACAGCAAAAAATTCTGGGACCCAAAGGTGAGAAAAAGTATTAAGCTATTTTAAACAGAAAGGAAGCCACTGTGGCTATAGGTATAAAAAGCAGGGGGAAGATGAAATGATCTTCAGCCTTAAGCTGTCCTCTAAATTTTATTCTACATTTAAGTTGGGGAATAACATGATTTATGTTGCTAAGATTCCCTTTGGGGGTGAGTGGAATTGGGGATTGAACCTAGGTCCTTCCCACTGCCACCATCCCCAGCTGGAATCCACTTTGACTACTGTATAAGGAAGAGAAGAGATAGGTCTGGGAATTTAGCCGAGTGGTGCTGTGCCTGCCTGGCAAGCGGAAGGTCCTAGGTTTGAATCCAATCAGTACAAAAAACTGAAAAAGAAGATATGACTTGGACTTTGTGTCAGGGAAGATGGAAAGAGGGATGATTTCAACATAAATGGAGTCAGGTTATTAAGAATGAATTAGCTGGGTTTGGGTACACTGTTTTTGATATTGATGAGGTATGTGAGACAGCCAAATGTGTGTCAGGTAGACATTTGGACTTAGGAGCCACAAAGAGGTCTGGGCTGGAGACAATGACTGCGAGACCGAAGGAGATTTGGGGAAAGTGTGTAGCCAGGGAAGAAGGCTTAAGGTTGAGGTGTCACCACAATTAGAAGTCTTATAAAGGAAGAGGAACCATTCTCTAGCTTGATTAACGTGGTGTGTGGTAGAGGATATTACCAGTGTCATAAGAAAATCAAAAGAAACAAACTTTTGAAAGACCAAGATAAATTCAGTTTCTGTTTTGAAGTTTCAAATGCTTATGAAGTCTCCAACTAGATAATGTTTGCCAAGGTTTAGTTTTAAGAAAACTATTTAAAGTTTTATACATTGACTTATAGCTTGAATCCTTTTTTTTTAAGTTACGGTATTTAGATATGCAGAGGAATATGAATTAATTTTAGTGAATTTATTTTGTTTTTGTTTTTGGTACTGGAGATGGAACTCAGAACCTTGTGCCTGCGAGGCAGGCGGCGTAACCACTGAGCTAAATCACCAGCCATTGAATCTTAATACATTAAATTAGGATGTCTACAACTTTGTCTTTTGGAAGAAAATCTATTATCATACCCTTGACATTTTGATTGCTGAAGAATTATTGTTTTTAAAATATGTAAGTGGCACTCTTTTTTTGGTACCAGTGATTGAACTCGGGACCTTGGGCTTGTGAGGCAGGCAGCGGAACCACTGAGCTAAATCCCTGACCCATAAGTGGCACTCTTATTTTTTTCAGTATCACAGAATGAGATAGGCTTATATACTGAGATGATATAGTAAAAAAAAGATTTCCTTGAGTGGATGTTCAGGGTTGTGGAATTTTAGTGTATGGATTCTCAGTTAATTAGATATCTAGAAGAAATTCAGTTTTACTGCTTATGCATAGGTACTTGAACGAGACACAGCTTTGCTTCAGCTCCTGATAAAGAAAAAGTGCGGGTAGTTTTCAAATTGTAAGTTAGAAGTATTTAGTGGCAATAAACACTTTTTCCATTATTTTTAAAAGTTTTATTGAAATACAATTTACAAATCATACAGCTGACTCACTTAAAGTTTATAGTCTAATGATTCTTAGTATGCTCAGTTGTGCAAACATCACTATAATTAGTGGTGAACATTTTCATCACCCAAAAAAGAAACTCCATAATCATTAGTAAACATTCTCTGTTTCTCTCCAACCCTGTACTCCAGCCCCAAGCAGTCATTTGTCTACTCTTTGTCTCTTACTTATCTGGACCTTTTAAAAATATATATTCTTCGGGCCGGGGATTTAGCTCAGTGGTTTCGCCACCTGCTGCGCAAGCGCAAGGACCCGAGTTCGATCCCTGGTACCAAAAAAAAATGTGTGTGTGTGTGTGTGTGTGTGTGTGTGTGTGTGTATGTATATATATATATATATATATATTCTTCTTAACGCCTTATAGCACTATATCCTTTGACCAACGTTTCTCCCTTCCCCCTAACTTTTCAAGCCTCTGGTAATCACCATTCTCTTCTGTCCTTAAATACTATTTCCTGCATAGTTGATGAGTAGTTTCTCCCTTGTGTTCATTGTTTCCCTCAGATACTACCTAATCAGTGAATACTTAGGTCTATAAATTGAAGATATCATTTTATTTTAAATGAAATATCAGGACATATATTGCATTTGTATAGCAGACTGGTGGTTTCAAAATCAAATATTGATTTTTTTTAAAAAATAATCTGAGCAGGCTGTATCCTTTAGCACACCACTGTGTCACTAGGACCTTGCTCAATGCCTGACATTCAGTAAATATTAGTCTGAATGATCGCATGCGATTTCCTTCTCTCCAGTGATTTGGATGAGGAAGAGTTGACAGAAATATTTTAATAATGTAAATCTTTAAATTTACAGATACATATGTAAGTTACTAGAATTAAATTGTATATGTGTTTTAAGAAATTGTACCCATGGTATCCTGTCTAGATTTGTTTCTCTCTTGGAAAATGCCCCTTGATGACTATTTCTCCAAACTTAATGTAATTCAGTATCTAGGCCTATGGTTATGTGCCAGGCACTTATTTGTTAAAAATGTGAAAGAAATTATACTAGGTATTGGTGTTGCAAAGACAAGGGTCCTGCCTTCGAGAAGTTCATTGACTTGGAGAGGATTTAGGTAAACAATATCTGTAATATAATGAACTATAATAGAGGTATGTAATAGTAAGATAAAGACACAATTTTGTCTAGATAGGTAGGCCAAAGAGAAATTATATTTAATGTCACAAACAGGCAGTCTGTAGGCCTGCTTGCACTCTGTGTGTATAAAACATTGAGTATTGAGAGATCACACAGAAATTGTTTTTTTTTTCCTTTTGAAATCTTAAGTTCTGTTAACATTGGGTTTTCTCATTCTCCCTGTAAAATAGGCTAGAGCTGAGTAGTTCTTTTCATTAAATATCTATCTTGGGTTTGACGTTTTCCTCCTTTATCTTACCTACATGGCCGTGTAGCTATTTGAGTTTACAACCTCTGCTCTAGTAGAACCAGTATGGATTTTCTAGTTCGAGAAGAACAAGAGAGGATTTTGTGAGTAAAACAAATTATAATAGTGGAGACACAACTCTGATTATATAGACTATTCATCTCCCAACTTGTGTGTAACAGAGAAAAATTTTAGATAAATCTAGAAAAATATTCTCAGGCTGAATTGTGATACTCTGTTAAACTAACTTTGTGGTTTATGTGTAACAGCTAAGGAATCATCATGTATTTTTAAGAGAGTGTATTGGTGTATTAAAAAAAAGAACTCTACCATAAAGTATATCAGATGCTTTAAAGAAGGAACAACATAAAGGTAGGGATACCAATTAAAAAGCCATTGCAATAGCTCAGGCAGTAAACTCCAGGGACATGGCATGGGGGAAGTCTGTTGTAGAATCCATAGGACTCCTTAAGGATGTATAGGGGAAGAAGAAGAGAAAAAGAGATACAGATGCCTCTTAAGTTTCTCTTAGGTCTCCTGATGGTCTCCCTTTTAGGGCCAGCAAATGATACCACTTTTCAGGTGGAACTATGAATTACGGTGAGATGAAGGAAAGATAGAGATTTGGAAATCCTTAGCACAGAGATGGTACAGGAATAAGTGAGGAATGCTTTCAAAGATTTGGGTTGGGAGGGGAAAAAATGAGATACTCATAACTCTGAGGAACACCATTTTACTCAGGTAGGACCTGAGTGGTAAAACCAGAAAGGTAGAAAGCTATTCAGAAAAACATTGCCTGATAGTTGCCAGGGAGAAAAAGTGCTTTAAAAACCTTCAGTAAATAAGTAGTGCAAACAAATTAAGTAGGATGGTAACTAAAAAGGAAGCTTGAACTAAGACTGTGGCAGTGGAATAGGAAAGAAGAGATTATTGGGTATAATTCAAGAAATACTGAATATCTTGAGATGAAATTAAAGTTGTCATTAGTTATGAGACTGTGAAGTACTGCATGATTGTTCAGTGGATTTTTTTCCTTGGGAGTACTAATTTTTTTATTGTAAAATGATTTTTCCCCCATGTGAAATAGGTACCAGATGCAATAAAGAAATGTCAGAGGGCTGGAATTACTGTACGAATGGTCACTGGTGATAATATTAATACTGCTCGAGCTATTGCTACGAAGTGTGGTATTTTACATCCTGGGGAAGATTTTCTGTGCCTGGAAGGTAAAGATTTTAACAGAAGAATACGAAATGAAAAAGGAGAGGTAAGGATTTTGTTTTCATTTGAATTAGAAGTTTTTAGTATATTAGGAGTTTTATTCAACCGATACATATTGAACATGCACTGTATTTTAGTCACCATCCATGAATAAATGCATTCCACATGATAACTAAAAACCAAGCATTCTAAGAGATAGAACACACAAATGATAGAGAAACTGGCCCTGAAAGGGAGTATGCATATCTTCCTAGAATGCTTTGTGAAAGTAGTTGCTGTGAGTCTAAGCCAATTCCAAAAACACAATATATGTGAGAGTAATGGGAGATGAGTTTGGAGATGAGCTGGTATGGTTTGGACAGGCCAGACTATCAGAACTTTTCATTTTCATAATGATGCCTATAGCAATGGCTCTCAAATGTGAGCCTCCATGAGAGTCACTGGGGAGTTCTTAACATTCAGTTTGCTGGGCCCACCCTAGAGTATTTGATAAGATAGGCTAGGGTCTTGCCCAGCGATTTACATTTCTAACAAGTTCCCAGGAGGTTCTGATGCTATTGCTCTGTTGAGCACACTTTGGGAAGCACTGAAATATGGTGGGTGACCAATTTGGAATTATGGAATTATGCAGTTATGCTTGGGCACACTTTTAACTTTGATAAAAATTTATAGATTGAACAAGAGCGGATAGACAAAATTTGGCCAAAGCTTCGAGTACTTGCAAGATCCTCTCCTACTGACAAGCATACACTGGTTAAAGGTAAGGAGATGTTACAGTTATTTCACAATCTCTTAGTGTAGAAATTTTACTATTTTAGTCTTAAGAATTACTATTTTAGTCTTAAAATAGTAACAGATACTAAATATTAGATTGAATCAAGGATATTATCTTTTCTAATAAATTCTAAATACATTTGCCTTTTATATCTCGGCTGAATTGTATTTATCATCTGTGATGAAAACAGGATACTCCTCCTAATGTAACCTTAGTTTCTAGAGTTAGTTTTTGCCCGACATAAAAGTAGTTTTCATTCTTTTTGGTTAATTATATATTTTTAACCTCAGATCTATAAAACTGATTAGTTGGGATATTCTGTAAAAGTACCTTATTAAGTAAAGAAAATGTTTTTATAGCACAAATGTTTTCCTTTATTTAAGGTATAATTGACAGCACTGTCTCAGAACAACGCCAAGTTGTAGCTGTAACTGGTGATGGTACAAATGATGGCCCAGCGCTAAAGAAAGCAGATGTTGGATTTGCAATGGTAGGAACTTAACTTATTCACGTATTCGATATAATTTGTTAGCTGGGTTATTGTTGACTGCATCTTTGTTGATTTTTAAACACTGTCCCTGAAGATTTGTTTCAGGGATAATCCATACACCTAAATTGATTTATAAGTCTTAAGTTTATTTATTAGCTGGTATTTGATGCCATGAAACCTAGCTAGATGATGATTTCTTTGGACAATTGCAACAGTGTACCTTTACTTTGTACTCTGTAAAATATTTAAATGTCCTGTCATCCAAACCTTTTACTCTTCTTAAGGAGGACACAAGCTTGAAAACAGTGGTACATATTTAAATTAAAATATACTTGATATTGTATGCTTATACAAATATGTCAAGTGACATCATGTTACTAGTATGCATTAATTTAAAAAGAGAAGAGAAGAAGGTAGAGCATACAGTGGCCAGCATGCTGATCTTGCTGGTAGCTCTGTGTTCCTCCCACTGGTGGCATCTGATCAGATATATTAGCCAACAACTTAGCCCACCTACAAAGCGCTGCTGGGGGTGGTGGACATACACATTGTATACACACACACACTCCTGAGAGTCTTCTCAGATGAAATTATCTGTTGAAGAATAATTGAACATTACCATTTTTTAAGAAGATGTAATCTTTTTTGATTGGAAAAAAATCTTGGTTTTTTTCCCCCCAAGTTATCCATTTAAGTATTTTCTTTTGTCTTTATTTTTGAAAAATACTCATCTATAATCACAGTTCTCAAAACTATCAGAAAATTGAAATATTTTACCTAAACTGACAGCCCTGTCATTTTTTTGTATTTCAATGTAAGTTTTGCACTTAACTGCAGAATTTGTTTGGAACTAATTTGAAGCTGTTGTTTGTGCCACTTAATGTGAATATGCATAGCCATTTAGAAATATTAATGTTTTTATGGAGGGCTAAACTTCTTTAGTTATAAAAGTTAGGTACTTCATCTTTCTAAAATAGACTTAAAATTCTGACAATCTGGCCCTAAAGGTTTCAGATGAGAAAATGTTTATATGCACCAGTGTGTGTTTGCATAATCTGTCCCCCATTATTCGCTACTAAATTAGGAATTTACAACAAGACCCACCATGCTGGCAGCCTTTCAGCAGAGCTGAGATAGATGGTAAAAAAAAAATTAGGAGTAACTTTCCTTCAGTCAAAAAGCAGTGAATCCCAAGATCTCCACCCCGACCCATCTCAAATTTAATGGGCAGCTGTGTTAGAATGAACTTTTAAAGACTTGTGAAGAGTAGCTGAAGAAGGACAAGGAATAATGAAGTGCTCTGCCTTGTACTCCAAGGAAACAGGATCATTCCCTTTTAGGAACACAGAATTACTAACTGCTGCACTTGAATATTTAGCAGAATATTTATTGACACTTTCATCCTGACAGTGACCAGGAAGGTAGTTAAGTAGAATGCATTTTAATTTAAAAAAAACTTTCTTCTTCAAACTTGAGTGTATGACAGAGTTTTAAATAAATACAAGTAAGTATAGTCATGCAATGAAAAATACAGTACAATGGCTGGTTTGTGTTTTTTTTAAGCTCTGAAGGTTTTAGGAGGAATTATACTTTTTTTTAATGATAACTCATCAAAAAATTTATTTCAAAAATAGAGAATAAGTACTTAGTGGCCTGGATTTGAAATCACTGAAGCTTGACTTCTGATAAAGTAAAATGTTTGGACACATGCACTCATGCAGCATACCCCTCTGAGAAGCTCATAAAAAAAGTTGTTTAAACCTTTTTGTATCTAAAGGCTCCCAAACTTGACTATTTTTGTTGATACCCCAATCAGTACATTAGTTACTTTTTAAATTTTTAAGGATGTTGAACAAGGGAATGGTAAGATTCACATTTGTAAACTATGAGAATTGATTAGAGCCAGGAAAACTTGTTACGCTTAGATATTTTAAATATGTTAAAGGTAATATATGGTGATTAGCAATAAGAGAAACCATGTGATACTTAAGTTTTTGTGTCTGATATATTTCACTTAACATTATGGTCTTATGCTAGCTGGTACTGCAGTGTCCTGAAGCTCACAGAAAGGTTCTGTAGTACCCCCCAAAAAAGGTCTGCTTCTCTACCATTGCTTAGAATTCAGCTTTCTTGGGTCTGTGGAGTTCTCATTTGGTTATATGCTTTTCAGTGTTTAAAGTTTTCTTGCAAAATCTCTTTCACCTCTAAGTTTGTCTGTGTGAAATCTTTTTAATATACCTTTGGTACTTTGGAAGGAAGTTGAGTAATGCCTTTGTTCATTCTTCTGTTTTTGACCCTACTTGAACTTTCTCATGTTTCACTTTATGTTTGATTGTCCTAAACCAGAGTCTTTCTTAGTGACATCCTAAAATAACTACATTATCTTCCTTTAGTATAAATTGTCACCATTTCAGTATAATAGTAAACTTTTTGTTTATTGTATATTATTCTTTTGAATATGTAGAAGTTATATTTTAAATACTTAGTCTGACTCACAGTTTTTTTCCCACAGGGTATTGCTGGAACTGATGTAGCTAAAGAAGCATCTGATATTATTCTCACAGATGACAACTTTACAAGCATTGTTAAAGCAGTTATGTGGGGACGAAATGTCTATGACAGCATCTCAAAATTTCTGCAGTTCCAACTTACTGTTAATGTTGTAGCAGTGATTGTTGCTTTCACAGGAGCTTGTATTACTCAAGTAGGTGATGATTTGTTTATTAAAATGTTTATTTTAAAGCAAAAATGTATATAAAGTGCCTTTTTAATATACTTAGGTATCTAAGATGGAGCTCAATGTTTTAGGTTAATTAACAGAAAAACATAACCAGTTTTCTGTTCCTTAAGTTTTTAAATGCAAAAGGCTTCCCAAGAATTATTGAGTCCCTGCATAGTTGTGAATGTGCATTAGGAAACATATCTTTTCTAGGATTCACCGCTTAAAGCTGTGCAGATGCTGTGGGTAAACCTCATAATGGACACACTTGCTTCCCTGGCTCTGGCAACGGAACCACCCACTGAGTCTCTCTTACTTCGGAAACCGTACGGTAGAAATAAGCCTCTCATCTCACGCACAATGATGAAGAATATTTTGGGTCATGCATTCTATCAACTCGTAGTAGTTTTTACACTCTTATTTGCTGGTAAGAATTAATTGTCTAATAAAGATTCAGCTGATTCTATTCAAATTGAATATCATCCAAACATGCTTTAGTGTTACACACATTTCTAGAGCCTAAGTTCTGTTCCTGACTCCCCATTTATCACTCCTTATTGTCAGTGGGTGCTCAGTACATTTTGGGACACCTTATGATAGATAATGGGTGGGAGGGGGTAGATAGAGAGTCTTGACCTCTTAGCTCTGCCACTGACTTAGATATCTTTTGTATGTCACCATAGTTTGGAGGACTTCAGTTTCCTCATCTTTAAAACAGGAGAGTTGTATTAGATAATCCCAGGTCTTTTCCACCTCTTTTTGTGCTGTTATTCCAGACCAAATAAAGAGTCAATCTAGGTTTTATTATTGTGTATTTCCTTGCAATGTTAAAGTTTATTTTAAATGATAATTACAAAATAATGTTTCATTCTTTCAGGAGAAAAGTTTTTTGATATTGATAGTGGAAGAAATGCTCCTTTGCATGCTCCTCCTTCAGAACATTATACTATTGTTTTTAATACCTTTGTGCTGATGCAACTTTTCAATGAAATAAATGCCCGGAAAATCCATGGTGAAAGAAATGTGTTTGAAGGAATCTTTAATAACGCCATCTTCTGCTCAATTGTTTTAGGCACTTTTGTGGTACAGGTGGGTAGTAGGAAAAGACAGGTACTTCTTCTAGAAATTAGCCATGGGAGTGCAGAGACTCTGCATGTTACCCTGGTGATGTGTATAGTCTCGTATTGATCTAAGGTATATTTTAAAGAATATGGAAACTTAGCCTCTTGTTCTTAGAAGTAAGTGCCACAACTAAGCAATTTTATTTCTTCAAATTTGAAAATGAAATTTATTTTTTATGAAATGAAATCAGCCATTCACATATAATCATTGATTTTTTTCTCCTACCACCTTAAAACTTTTCACATCCTTCATTATACCAACAAAAGATACTTAAATTTTTTAAAAACCAAGAACACTTGTATAAATAAATATTGAACTTTTTCACCTTTATTATTTTCTTGGTTTGCAAAAGAAAATTATGTCAGTTTTATATCTCAGTGAATATCCAGACATGATTATCAAATCAGTATATAAATAATCTTGACTTTAAAACACAGTGGAATTAACAAATACAATGCACACAATGGAATTTGATATTTATTCAAAAAATGAAACAAGCTACAGGCGAATATAGTATTCTTGGGATTAAATAGTATTAAGTTATTCTTCTTGATCATGATAATTTTTTTTAATTTAGCAAGTGTAATTTAAACATGAAAAATGTATTCATTTGAAAGTTTGGGCAGAGGTTTGACTTTATGTTTCAGTTGTCTTATTTTCAGCTGAGATTTAAAATAGTGGTCATGTTAAGAATATGAATTTTAAAATTTAAAATATTTATATAAATTTACTCTTGGTTATTCCTCCAGATAATAATTGTGCAGTTTGGTGGAAAGCCTTTCAGTTGTTCAGAGCTTTCAGTAGAACAGTGGCTATGGTCAATATTCCTCGGAATGGGGACATTACTCTGGGGCCAGGTAAAATCTCATCATTTTTCCTTAAAACCTGTATTTCTTTGAAATTTTCTAGTGTGTATTTTCTTTACTTAGTTCTGTTACTTGATCCTAAATAATTACATTTGGGTCAAGAAATGGAATTTAAGGAAATGTGTGTAGTGTTTTTTTTTTAATTGTACTATCTGTAACTTCTTTTGTAGTTTTGCAGCAGTTAATAAAAGTAATATATTTACAAGTAGTTGGGATACTAAATATCTTTTATCCTCACCTATTTTTACATGTTTAGAATAAAATAAAAATAATGGTATTTCTTATATATTATTATATATGATAATATATAATGTGTATTATATAATAGTATATATTGGAATATAGGGCCACTAAATGGCATTTTAGAGTTATTGGACTGAATATCTTTAACAATGTATTTATAAAATATAATCCCTGAAGAATGAGATACTTCTCATCTTTGGTCTGCTTACTTGCCAAGTGCGTGTCATTCTTTTCTAAGGATGAATCATAATGACATAAGTTGTTCATTTTAAACCAGATACCATTACTGTAAAACTAACTGATAGAGAATCTATATTAATGCTGTTACAAATGCAGAATAGCATGTTGTGTAACTTAGGTGAGCAGATTTTGTCATTCTGCAAATCAAACCAAACTCTCAGTTTTTACTTAAATTTAGCCCTTTATGCCTTTAAGTTTCTCTTATTCATTTTGAGCATTTTATTATCAGAGATCTTCTTTAAAGTAGGATCCCTACTTGGTCCGCACTTATTTTTGACTACCATTCTAATTATTTCATAACGGTCTCTGATGAAATACAACCTTATAACCTCCAAAACTCTGGCTAATTTCGGGAAGAAGAAATACAATACAACATACATAAACAAAAGGCTTAAATTGATGTTGTCTATTGATTTAAGTATGTCATGGTAAAAAAATAACTGGCCCTTGTTGCCAGGAAACCTGGAGTCTTAGTCACTCCATGGACAGGTCACTTCATACATCTCTGAACTTTTTTACTTTTTTTTTGGCCTCTATGGAATGAGGTGGTTGGAGTAGAAGTTTTCTAAGCTGTTCTATTTCTAACTGCATGCTTGTTTCTCCCTAATCTATTTGACTCCCATAAGAAATGACTGTTAACACCAAAAGCTAATACATAATGGTTGAAGTCTCTTGTATCCTTTATGTTTTCTGAGGCATCTGTTACTATTTGGTGTCATTGTAAATCAGTATTAGTTCAGTTTTAAATAGTTGAATTTTATACAAATAAATATATTCAATAAAACTTTTTAGTATAACCTTGATGAATTTCTGGCTTTTGGTATGCTTTACTCGTTGAATTGTTACAGCACTAATGAAATATGTTTTGCATCCAGTAAGACCACTTGGTATTTTTGTTTTATTTGAAGTAAATATAATTAATAATTTTAAGTAAATAATATGTATTGAAGCATGATCATTTACTATTGTGAGTGTCCAAACTAAAATATGAAAGAAATGTAATCAGGTTAATTCCTATTCAGAAAATGTTTTTATCCTTCCAACCTAAATCTTTTTGTATAACTAAGAAGAATATTTTTAGTTCTGGGAGAGGATGTCTGATCAAAAGATTTCATCACTTCATTGGTGAACATAGTTGGATATTTTGTAATTTTTATATCTTTTGTAAAGTTGATCAGTTTAACTCTACTTGGTATGATTTAGTTCTAAGTTATTTCCCCTACGTTGTAGCTTATTTCAACAATTCCAACTAGCCGTTTAAAATTCCTGAAAGAAGCTGGTCATGGAACACAAAAGGAAGAAATACCTGAAGAGGAGTTAGCAGAGGATGTTGAAGAGATAGATCACGCTGAAAGGGAGTTGCGGCGTGGCCAAATCTTGTGGTTTAGAGGTCTGAACAGAATCCAAACTCAGGTATGGGTCTGGTAGAGAGGTAGGAGAGATGATGGGAGCAAGGGCTTTCTGACCTGGGAGGAGGTTTTATGTACTCCTTAACTTCCTTTCTAGCCTCCCAGCCCAAAAAATTTATTCTTTTGAAAAAATACTACTGGTAGCTGGAATGAGTGAAACTTTTACCTGGTTATGGAAGAATGTGTCTTATGCCCCTAAGCTCCTTTTTTCCTAGCTTTTTTTTTTCTCCCCTCATCTCAAAATGCTACCTTTGCCTATTTACTGCTCTGTAAAAAGTGCCTTTTTCTTTACTTTTTATATGGTGATAGATGGAATGGTCCTTTCTCTTGTTCTCTCTCTCTTGCCGAGCAAGCTGTCACGATCTCTGATTCCTTGCAGATGGATGTAGTGAATGCTTTCCAGAGTGGAAGTTCCATTCAGGGGGCTCTAAGGCGGCAGCCCTCCATCGCCAGCCAGCATCATGATGTAACAAATATTTCTACCCCTACACATGTAGTGTTTTCCTCTTCTACTGCTTCTACTACTGTGGGGTGTGAGTGTGTGTTCCTAAGTGCATGAAATTAACATTTCCTACTTCACACACCTAACGTTTCTCATTTTCTCCTTAATGTTTAAATTCATTGTTCAGGCTTTTCATAAAGCTTTCTTTTCGTAAAGTGGATTGAGACCTCAAAGTGTTGTCGTTGTTGTTGTTTTATTTCTTAGAGGGCTAGATAACCGGTGGAACAATTGCAACCAAAGATTAGATATGAAATCCATGAGCTTGTCTCTGTGCTACCTTTTATAGCTATATGGGGAATGAAATTATAGCTTAGAATTTGTGAAACTACTATAAATTTTTGAGTATATGCCTTCAAACATGTCCATCTTGCATGGTTCCTAGAAGCATGTGATTTAAAACTGATGTAACAGAGTCAGGAAATTGCATTTTTAAAGCCAAAAATGAATTTGGCATTTCAGCTTTTATCTCGTCCAGCTTGGAAAGTTAGTTGCCTGAAGAAAAGTTCTCGGTATAGCTAGTTCCTTGCCTTCTTAACCTGAATTTTGTTTGCCTTACTTTGTTTAAGCTTTATATAAGCTTTTATAGTTATTTGTAGTCTGAGGTTATTCCTCCCAGTTGTATAATCAATTTAAAGTCGCATCATAGACAAAAAACGTTTTAAAAGAAGTGGGAAAAGTATATAGTTGATTAATTATTTGAACCATTCCATGTGGAAAGGTGTATTGAGTAGAAAAACACATTTCCTTTCAGATTTTTAGTAAATAGCAAGACTCCTAAAGTCCTAAGTAAATGGTAAGACTCCTAAAAGTCTTACCACTTATGTAGTCTTACTGTAAATTAAGATCTTCTGATTTCATGTGGATTTTCAGTATATTAAAGGAACTAAAGTATAAACCCACCTCCAACCCCAAATTGCTGAAATTCTTACAGTTCTATTGGGCAGAGACATATCTTTTCCACTGAATTTCCGGGTAGACTGGCGGAGCCTTAGTGCAGACTGTTTACTCAGTGCCTATTTGTTTACTGTTTGCTCGTGTAATTTTTATGATATTTTATGATATTTTTAACAATGTTGTAAAACCGGCAAAACAAGATCTGTCCCCATTTCACAGGCATGAGCACTGACTTGGAATTTAAATAATCTGCTCCTGGCTAATACTTAGAGGTTAGTATGGTGTAAAGCAAGGAGCAGACAGGTGCTCTAAAACACACTGACCTTGTAACATTAGGATATTACATTTACATGGACAAATAGGACTCTCCCTTTTTAAATTTACCTACATTAATGAAATGGTAAATGTAAATTGCTTGGGTACATAAATGTCAGTTGCATCCCTTCCTCCCTCTATGGATTTTACACTATCTTGGGGCTTCTTACCACCCAGCTATGGATGATAAATATTCCACAGACATTTATGGAAGGCATACTAGTGTGTGTCAAGACTGTTCTAGAAGAATCTGCAGTCTACTGAGAGAAATAAATGGAAATTTTTATGTGCTAGGGAAACACAGAATAATGTGGTAGGAGTCTTAATGTACACTGGGAACTCAAGAAAAATTATGTGAAGGAGGTGAGTTTCCCAAGTTGATCCTTGATAAAATTTGCTAATTGAGGAGAGCAACCCTCAGTGATAATCGTTTGATACTACAAGAGTAATAATAAACTGTAAGAAGTTGATGAAGCTAGAATGGAAGGCAATCTTCAGTTTATATCCTGTGAGGAGCCAAACTAGGACTTTATCCTAAAAGTCTTCCCTCCCCTGCCCTAAATATTAAATTTGAAAAATTTCAAACCTGTAGATGAGTTAAAAAAATGAGTACAAGTCGTGTAATATGTCCTGTATTAACACATTCAAAAAAATTTAACACTAATACCATGTTATAATCAGTCCATATTCAGATTTCTCCAGTTGCCCAATGTCTTTTATAGCTTTTTGATGCAGGATCCACAAAAGAATCATCAGCAGTGTGTATTGCTTTTCTTTAGTCTCTAACCCAGATCTATTTCCTGCCTTTATTTTTTTATGGTGTGATCTTACTCTGAAGACTCAGCCAGTCATATTATGATGTGCCTTACATTCTGGATTTATCTGATTGTTTCCTACTGATTAGCTTTGTGTTGATTTTTTTTTTGACAAGTTTATCTCTCGTGGGTGTTATACTATTCATTTTTATTTCACCAGTATTTTAAATAATTGACCATTTCTTTAAATTGGAAGACTTTGGGTACACTGTAGTTGCTGTATTTCTCAACCTAATTTTGTCTGAGCTTCTGTGTTAAGTATCATACCAGTATGTTTTAAGATACTTATACCCAGTCCAGGCTCTTTTCTAATGCACACTTATGTATGAAACCTCTGAATTCCTAGACACAAGTGACCAGGGGAGTAGTGTTATACTTCGGGGAAGCACAGTTATACTCAGAGAGTGACAAAGGAGGGATTGTAGCTGTTGCTTCATTAGGGTTTGAGATGTTTTCTACTTTATTGTATATCCTGTGTTCTTACAACATGAGGTGTCCAGGGACTGGATCATACTTCGCTAATGAGGTTATCATTGTGCAGTAACAATTCCTATAATTATATTGTTTTTACCTTAAATTTCTCTAAAACTTGCTGATGGAACATTGTCTTACGTGCTACAATAACATCAGGTGATACATAGAATTAATTAAGGTATAAAAATCCTGAAGATACAGTTAAGAGTCTTAGTATGCTTGATGAAAGATTTACTTTTCTCACTGCTTCTACCCTAATATTGAGTAGTCCTAGAAGTTTCTATGAATGTCAGATTTCTTTGCTCTGTTAAATAGACATGGTGATAATCCATGTCAGCTTGGTCAAATACTAGACTTGAACCTTACCTGGAGAGATTTTCTTTTCTCCTCACTTATTAGCAAGATCTTTACTCTTTACAATCTAGAGGAAACATTCTGTAGTAATTTATCTGTAGATATTTTATCTATGAATCATATCAGCTCTTCACCATTACTAAATGCTTATTCTGAACAAAAAGGCTAAGCTTCCTAGAAAGGAGAAATTGAGAAAGTTTTATCTTCAAGATAAAGGGTCTACAGACTACAGCCGGTGAGCCAAATCTGTCCTGTCTCCTGTATTTTAAAATAAAATTTTACTGGAACAAAGCCATGCCTATTTCAATAAGTATATAATGGTTTTGCACTACAAAGACAAAGTTAAATAGCTAAATAGAGACCTTATGCATTAAAAAATCTAATATTTATTATCTAGTCCTTTACAGATAATTAAAACAGTTCACATTTACACAAATGAGACTCCCCTAAGGAAATTCAATATGCTCGTCTCAGCTTTGGAAAACAGCCTAGAATTTTCTTTTTTGTTGCAAATGATCTTTTACTTTATGTAGCATTTTGATTTTTTAGGTTAGTCCACTTAGTAAAAGTGATTAATACAAATTTTAGAAATAGGTGATCTGTCTGCAGATCAGATGTATTGGCTTCTGATGATGTAGTACTGTATCTTAGAGCTGTCTCCTTATATACCATGTTCTGGACAACAGTATTATTAATCTCTGCTAGCAAGACTTGGGAAAGCATTTAGAAAAACACATGGTTTTGCATGATTTTTTTGATTTGTTAATTATATTTAATGCATTGTTTTCTTTTATAATCATTAAGTTTCTTAAAATTTATGATGGTAATCACTTCATTTTTTAATCATTGCTTCATGTAATATTTTCTTCTGTTATTTTCTCTTGTTGAATAATTTACTTGATTTAAATTTTTCTGAACATAGAAATTACTGAATTTTTTCTTAAAATTTTAGAAGGTATAATCTTGTACATCTAGATCCCAGTAGATATTAAATGGGAATTGAATTAAAAGACTGGATAAATAATGAGGCTTAGCTGGTCAAAATGGAAAATTAGGGTTACTTTTGAGACTTATGGTTTAATTGGATTTTTGGCAATATTAATACAGTTCCTACCAATGTAAAATATTGTGCACAAAATTCTTTTTCTCAGAGTTACTGTGAGAATTTTACATAAGGTTGATAATAAAGTCAAAGCAAGTATAAGTTAGCTCATGTGTTTGCAGCTTTCTGCCACTATTAACAAAATACCTACCACAGTATGTGTTTGTGTGTACACATATACCTGCTGCTCTTATTCTGCTCCACTTTAGAATTCTTCTACCTCACAACTCTCTTGTCTTAAGCCCATCCCTTTCTTCTGAATTCTAGGGTTTTTTTGTGTGTTTTTTCAAATTTAATATGTTTAAAGAATGGATTTATATCCTTCCTAGACAGATTTACAGAAAGAAGGGAAAAGAAAAAAATGAACAGCCATACCAGCAGGCTAGTCAGACTTCCAACAACTTCAGGGTAATCTTAACAGTTCTCATTACCCATTAAGTTTGCTGGCTGGGGATTTAGCTCAGTGGTTCCGGCGCCTGCCTCGCAAGTGCAAGGTCCTGAGTTCAATCCCCAGTACCAAAAAAAAAAAAAAGTTTGCTGACTGATCCTCTAATTTCTGTTTTCTTTTATCCCTGCTGGCTACTGACACCAACAGATTTTTTTTTAAAGTAAGATACCTCTTGCTTTGAAAGTATAAGACAGCACAGCCAGAATACTTGTTAAATGTTCACAAGTATAAAATGTAAATTGTAAGATTTCACAATAAGATATTAAATGAATTATTTTAACAGAATAGTTAACAAGCATTGTTTATATTCCATATGTTAAGCAGTTTGCATCTTAATAAAGGGGGACGGGAACAAGGGCAATAAATTGACAATGTATTTCCTGCTATTAGTTTCTCAAATTAAGGGACCAAAGTACAAACACAAATAGAACAGGATTAGAAAATAGCACATGATAAAGTAGCAAGACAGTGTAGACATGCTGCTTACTGTTCCACGTGTAGATGAGGCCAGCAGCACTAGCTTCACTTGGGAAATTGTTAGATGCAAGAGATCAGGCTTTTTCTGAATCAGAATCTTCACTTTAACAAGATCCTTGGCTAATTCATATGCACATTAAAGTTTGAGAAGCCCTGGGATTGATACTTTTGTGCTAGTACTTTTCAGACTCTACTGTAGCTTACTAACTAATCTCCCATAACAACCCCATAAAATGTAGGTTACCATTGTTATTTCCCATTTTGTACCTGACAGAACTCATTTGACCAGGTTCCTCAGCTAGTAGGTGGCAGAGCTGTAACCCATTTTATGTTTCTCTTTATTAATCCAGTATGCTGTGCTGCCTGCATATAGGGCTAAGTTAAGATGAACTAAAGCAGCTTACAGACAGAGGTTGGTAAATCAAGAAAGACAAATGCAAGGAGAGATAAGGTAATGATTAATGATTAGAAGCAGATACATGTTCCTAACTCAACATTACATTTTAAAAATATATTCAGGGGCTGGGGATTTAGTTCAGTGGTTCTGCCGCCTGCCTCACAAGCTCAAGGTCCCGAGTTCAACCCCCGGTACCAAAAAAAAAATTAAAATATATATTCAGTGTTCATAGGAAAAAATGTATTAGTTCATTATCATGAGATAATTTTGGTGACATCTTTTTTTCCTAGCAATTCAAAGTGTCAGTTACTTTGTATATTTTTCTTAATGATATCTTCCCCTTTTTTTGAAACAGGGTCTTGCAGTATAGTTCAGGCTGGCTTCAAACTCCTGGCAGTCCTCCTGCCTCTGCCTCCCAAGTGCTGGGATTACAGGCATGCACTACCACACCTGGTTGTGTCTTCATTATTAAGCACAGTTCATTAGAATTAAAACAGAAAGCAAATCTTGTATCTGAATTGGTGTATAAGAAGTGTTCAACTATTTGGGTATTCTTTTTTGGGGGATGGACTAGTAAGACCTAATGTCAGTATTGCAGTAATGCTTTTGAGTTTCATTGCCCATACATATACAGCAGACCTTCAAGCAGAAAGGTAAATTGTTGAGCTGTGTGTTTAGAGATGAAAATACCAGAAAGCTTTAACACTTCTTCTTGAGAATTTTTTCATAGAAGAATTCCAGAGAATTTATTTTTGTTTTGATTCTCTTCTTCCTGGAGACTGTAGTGAGTGATTAAGTTGTAATCTACTTAGAGAAAAACACTAATACTTTATAGAAAAATGGCATATACTCAAATATTTATAGCTGTTTAATGGCACTTTATAGATATTTATTTGGGTTTTGTCTTTATTCTTATTTTTAATTATGGGAGTAGTGGGGTAGATGTGAGTTCATGTGGCTTTCAGCTTATATTTGCTTGGCTTTTTCATAGTCGGTGACGCCCTTACTCCTAGCATGATAAATAGTAACCCTTTGTGCTTGACTTTTAACTTATTTGAATTGTTTTCAAAAATACATTCTTTTTAATTTACAAAGAAATTAGCTAAGCTTGTGTATGGTTAAGTTTTTGTTTTGTTTTATGTTTGTTTTTATTTTCTTAGGGGAAAAAAATACTATAAAATGGCTATTAAATTTTTAGCCAGTGACAATGAGGTTTCCTTAGTATTACTTTAAACTTATACCTCTTAATTCTTAGAGTATGTGGTTTTGTTGTTCTGTAGTGTCCTACTAAAATATTCATTTTTTTACAGTGTATTGCAAGTTCCACTGCATTACATGCAAATATGATTCACTCATACCTAGCTGTTTGTGGATTCAGACTCATAAGTGAACCATTTTTAACTTAATAGTGTACTGACATCTTTCTGTTTTCTGATGTTTACAGATTCGAGTGGTGAATGCATTTCGTAGTTCTTTATATGAAGGGTTAGAAAAACCAGAATCAAGAAGTTCGATTCACAACTTTATGACACATCCTGAGTTTAGGATAGAAGATTCAGAGCCTCATATTCCCCTCATTGATGACACTGATGCAGAAGATGATGCTCCTACAAAACGTAACTCCAGTCCTCCTCCCTCTCCCAACAAAAATAACAATGCTGTTGACAGCGGAATTCACCTTACAATAGAAATGAACAAGTCTGCTACCTCTTCATCCCCAGGAAGCCCACTACATAGTTTGGAAACATCACTCTGATTGTAAGCTGAATGTTAACACACTAGCTGCATTGTAAAGAAACAAATTGAAACTGGGTCTTTTCTCATATTGTGACAGACAAGATAGTATTCTTGTCTTTGGACTTCAACAGAAGACACACTTGTACGAATGTAGATTTATTTTTTTAAAAAAAAAAAGCAAAGCTTTCTGCCAGACTGAGGGTGCTTTTTGGGGGTTGGGAGAAATGAACTGACAGATAAACAGTAACTCAGTGTAAGTCACCCGTGGATCATCAGTAGTACCCAAGAATGGTCCTGAACAGTGTGTGAGCAGAGCGTTAGTTTCTCTCAGTCCTTGATGGGAGGGAAGGAGGAGTAAACCTGGGCGAGCGAGACAAAGAGCCCTGGATCATTGAAATGATACTTTAATTTCTGCTGTTGGCTGTTAATAATTTGGATTATTTATGTTTATAAATGATGAACATCTGTTTACAAAGGTTTGTAGATACTTTTTTTGTTCCTGTTCATAGATGGGAAGCTTCCTTATAACTGATGCACAGAAAAATTAGTCCTTCAAATACTGCTGTATTTTCAGGAAAAAAAAAAAAAGGGGGTGTTTCTATTGAAACTGTACTAAATTTTTGCCTACGATTTACCTTGTTAAATATTGTAGATAAATTGCTAATACTAATAGCCAAATAGATAACAATAACGCTCTGTTTAAAAAAAGAAAACAAAACAAAAAAAGATGAGCAGTGGTGTTCTAATGAAGTTATGGCATCTGTCCTGATTAGTTTCTTAAATACATTTACTACTTAATGGTTTTGAAACAGCTGTTTAATTTTTAAAATTTTTGAAAACTTGCTAATAACCTTTGTTCAGAATTTAGTAGATTGTTTAATGCAGGACATCGACTACATAATGAAAGATGCTTGAAATGCTTTTGTTATTTCAGGCAAATCAAATTAAATCAAACTATCAAACTACAAGAGAACTTTAGTCCTTTTTGTTTTTGTCTGTGTTAGTTCAGTGATGTCTTGGTGAACTGTGAGTGAACTGTATTGATTTTTCTAGTCCTTCGAGACCTTCATACAGCATGAGGGCTGTTGGCATTTTGAAAAAGGTTAATAAATAGAAGCATACATGTTTTCTTTTTGTTTTTGAAACTTGTTTGTAAACATAAATAAATATGCCCTTTTATTAAATAAATACATGGCAATGTTTTTTTAAAAGGCATTTCAGCTTCTTTCCTCAGTTCTGCATATATGGTGCATCAGTCTGTTCTCTTTAACCACAATTGGAATAAATTTCAAGATGATAACAGTCCCATGAAGTACCGCTTTAATTCCTTGGTGATAATCTAATAGAAGCAGATTGAGAGAATTATCACAATTTTGCCATTTAATTTACTCTTCATAGAATTCAGTTTGTCTAAAATAGTCTCACAGTTTAAAAAAAAAGTAATGACCACCATTATCTTTGTTACTTTTAAGTCTTAAGTGGCCAAACAACAGAGTAGATAAAATGAGGTTATGTGAAGAATCGGAAAAGCTTCGTAAAAGATATATTTTGATGTAATAATCATGTGCTGGAATGCCCATCATAAGCCAGTTGGATTCTTCAACTGTTACTTTCCTGCCTACCTTCTTCCTTTGTTTTTCGCCTTTTGTTTTTTCCCCCTTTAGAAACTGGCATTTTGTTAGCAGCCCAGGTTTCACCAGATAAACAGTCCTCAGGCTGACATAAAGTTTATAGGGACTACTACATCTGAGTGTGCTGGCCCAGCAAAGAAACATTTAGTTGATGGTGCTTGATATTTTTGGTGGGTGGGGGAGATCTTTTTCTCTCCATCAGTTGTTTGCAGAATCCTCTGTAAGTCTTAGAAACATATTGGCTCTGTCAGCATTTGTCATTGTACATTTACTCATCAGGTATATATAGCAGCTCATACTGTAAAAAGAGGTAGCATGATATGCCAGGAAGCATATTTAGACTAGGAGTCAAGTCCTGGCTTCTGAAGTCTTGGTTTTGCCATTAATGTTGCTGCATGATCTTAGGAAAATTGTTTACCCAAAATGAGGGTGGTGGGCTAGACTATCTTGAAGAATCCTTTCAACTCTGTAAATTGACCCTATCAACTGGAGAAGCCTACTAAGGCATAGGGAATAGAGAAAAGGGAAATATTTTATTTTCTTTTTTATTTTGGTTATGCTTAAATATGAATGCAATTACCAAAAGATTTAGAAGTGCATGTGCTTTGAAGGATTTGTATTGAGCTTTTACAGTATTCATTTTTCAACTCAAGGCAATGGCTTTTTACACCAACTCTAATCCATAAACAGGTCTTACGCCATCCATGAAGTAGTAGCAAGACATGCTTAGTGTGTATTTTCTCTTTGAGACACTGTAATTTCTATCAGAAATGTCCAGAGCATTATGTAAGTAGAAAAAAAAAATGCAAGCAGGCTGTTAAAGATCTTGCATCCCATTATATAGTATATATAGCTGAAATCAGCATCTGTAATTCACTTTTTCTCTTTTATCCTCTAACCAAAAACTTGTTTAATTTTACACCCCAAACGTTTTTAATCTTTGTATATTTTTTAAAAATCCTTTCTTCTTCATCATTGCCTTTTTTTGTGGTTGTAAATAGACTTATTTGCACTTTGAAGATGAGTTACTCCTTGTCACCTTGCAGATATGTGATATGGTAATTTTCATAACAGATGTCAGTTTTGAACCAAGAAATGGTGATTTGTTTATAAGAAAAAAAAAACTGGCTTCATTTCTGTGAAATTGCTCTTTGAAAATTTCTTTTTACACGTGTAAGCCAACTGAGATACCGTGATGGTGTTGATTTCTTTCAATGATGCTTACCATCTATTTTAGCCACTGAGCCTTTTATTATTTGTCTATTTGTAAAGTTTATTTGTCTTAACTCATTTAATAAATATACTGTTTATCTGTTTCTGAATGGGGACTGAACTTTTTGAATAATGAAATTTATTTGAACATCATATTTTGGAATTTTTTCTACTTGAGATTTTAAAAATCTAATTGATGAAAATTCTATAATGTACTTGAAATGTTACGATTGTGTTTCAGAGAATCAGTGTTCTAGTCTGCATGATCCTGCCTCTCAGATGAAAAGTGGATGCATTGTGCTTCCTCTTCTACCCACAGCTTCACTCCTTCTAGCACAATAAATCAATTCTGCAGTCCAGGGGAGTGTAATGTTTTGGTTGCAGAACAAGTTAGTGTTTGACATTAACTATGAGTTTATTTTGCATTAAATAATCCAAACTTGTCAATAGCAGTTATCTGAACTCTATTGTAAAGTAATAAAATTTCCCTTAGTTGGTTTTATAATAAATTATTAATATAAATTAACAATTTTGTTGAAATGCTGAACTTTAAATGATATGAATGCCATATTTTTGATAGTACAAATTATTAGCAAATTATTGAATATATTTAAATACCATATCGATGACATGAAAGATATTTTTCATTGTCAAATTGGATTTTTTATATGTATTATGTATTAGAATTGAATTTTGAATTATGTTTTCTTTGTAAAACTAACTGTGAATAAGAAAGAAGAGTTTAAGCTTTTGCCTATTGACAGTTTTCCTTACCCAGGTCTTTAAGAGAACTCATGTCTCACTGTACCTGTCCTCTCTCTGTAACCTGTGCCACTCTTAAGACTCTTAAACCCAAACCCTGTGTCATCTTTATCTTTTTTGAGTATTTTTACACTCATTCGTAAACAACAAAAAAATTAATAGTAGAATTATGTCCCTGCTAGGACCAATCCCTGGAAAATAACCTTAGAGACTTGTGTATTTCATAAAGAATGCTTCATGTAATAAAAAAGTTTTGGTGGTTGTGTTCCTATAGTGCTCATTGGTATAAGTCAAAAAGGAAATTGTCTTTATCCTAATAATTTCCTTGTCAACAAGTTGATAATTTTTCCACTTAAACTCTTAATTGGGGGTTTACATTTATGCTTTTTATTGTAAGATCCATTTCTTTGTTATCTCTATTTGTTAAACCATTTCATCTGCTGGATGATTATATGCAGTGTAGGCATGTTAAATATATATTCTCTTTAGTTGAAGGTGTCATTATCGAACAATATAATATGGCTGCGAAACAAGGACTTTAAACAAAAGTGTATATATGCTTATATGGTATCTGTCTCTGGCAATATTACTATCTTAGGAATCGGCACTAATTCCCAGATCACTAGCACACAGGTCTGGGTTTGGGTTCAGTGTAGGACCAAGAGTCTCAACTTAAATCATGGTTTCAAGGTCTACATGATTTTCAAATTACCTTGCAGATCATTAGCTATTAAAAGTAATTGTCACAGCTTAAATCAGCACTTACAAAGTGCTTGCTATATGCTAAGCATTTTACATGGATTATGCAAATAACCCTGTGAACTACTGTCGTCTTACACAATGGGGAGACGGAGGCTCAGAGAGTTGAGCACACTTGTCTGGGTGGCATGGTGGTAGAGCTGGGATTCACACTTGAAGCAACCTTTTTAGGCCAGCCTTGGGCTGTGCCAGCACCTTGTTAACTGGAGTCAGGGCCCAGCGCCCAAATCTTTGTGTTTAACTCTTGAGTGTTCTTTTTACTGCTCTTCTTTTCTGATAGCAGATGTTTTAGAGATGATCCTGAGAATTCTCATACCCTTCCTGGAGGATAGCTCAAAAGAGTGAGGATGAATCACCAGTTCAAATGTATATAATCTAAGCTTTTCCACAGACTATAAACTCAGTTGAATGTTTTTAAGTGTACCTTGATAGAGAGTTTCATGGTTTGGTACTTTTAAGATGAGTATGCTTATTTGAAGTTTGATAGATAATAACATTAACAGGTCTTTGCTTCATTTTCTTTATAATTTGGAGTGGAAATAAATTTAATCACATTAATGAGATAGTCTTTTTTCGATTTTTAAAGTTTGTAGAACTTGGGACTTTCTTTGGCAAGAAACATTTATAGAATAGTGTGCTCTACTTTCAGACAAGTTTACTTTTTTTAATGAATATTTTTGTCCTTCAACAGTATTTTCCTTGATGAAAATCCTTAACGTTTAAATATTTAGCCCAAGGGAATGACTATTGTACATTGGATTTTAAATGGTCCATTTTTAAAAGAAGAGAATTAGAACCATTTTTCACTACTGTTTTAATACCACTTTATATTAATGTGGTTTATGGTTCATGGATAGTCTGTCCTCCCATCGTCTATAAAATAAAAAGATGCTTGCTGACTTTATGATCATTAGGTACTTTAGAGAAGATAAGGTGTTCTAAAACTTTCTTTATAAGACTGCTTTTGAAATCGTAAGTATTTCTTTCATCTAAGGCATATCTTAATAGTGTGAGAATTACAGCTAGAAAAGAATGGGAGCACAAGGAGACCTATGGTATCTGAAGTTAGAAATTCAAATTGGCATCTTTGTTTATTTAGTGTTCTAGATTTTTAAACATAACCCTGCTTTCAAGAAGGGTAAATTGGTAGTATATCTGAAATCTTTAGATAATTCATTTTCTGCTGCAAACTTAGGTAATAGATCTCAGCTCTGAAGGTTGGTAGGGTAAAGGATGACTTATAACAGTAAAGCTACACCACGTCCCTAGAGCCTGGAACCTTTTCAACATTTAGTACACTATCCTGGTCTCCCCCATTTTTCTGTCCCCAAATTACCTGTAAGTGCTTTCATGTCTGTCTCTGTATTTCTCTCTCCATTCGCTTGACCAACAATTCGTTTAGCTCAGTACATGGCATGAGTATTTCATGCTGTCCTAAGCTCTGAGGAGAACCAAACAAGGTCCATCTTGGGCAATTTATGTTCCATTGGGTGAAAGAGACAGACTTTTGTTAGGTTGTTATACTACTGTATAACATAGTGTCATTGGGGTAGCCTGCATAGATCAGGTAACGTTTCACCAAAGACCTGTAGGAAGCCAAATGCTTGGCACACTGGAAGACCCTTCCAACAGTAGGTGGTGGTTGGCAGGTTTGAGGAATGGAAAGGAGCCAGGGTAGCTGCAGTGAAGTGAACTATTGGGAGAGTGGTAGGAGATACCCTTAGACAGGTAATAGGAGACTAACCTAGTTAAACCATCCTTGGCAAGAATTTTGGCTCTTCTGAGTGAGATGGCAAGCCAAGGGAGGATTTTGAGCAGAGGAGCAGCATAGCCTAGCTTTTCAAAGAATCATTGGATGCTTTGTGCATAGAATGATTGGAAGCGAGGAAACCTGTTAGGAAGCAACTTTTTCAGACTTGCTCTATTACAGCTCAGCCTTTTCTGCTTCTTTGTAGCCCTTTTCTAAGGAGTCCTATGGGCCCTTCATTTTTCTTTTCCTGTGTTTACTTTATGCATGGCCTGCTCATGCAAATGACACAGGGATAGTGCCGCTTTTAATCATCTCGCATTTTTCCTCTTTTGCTGAGGCTTCCTGTATTTCTACTTCGATCACAGTAGCCTTCACTTTTATTCTGTTATTCAACCACATGATTACAAATAGAACATGACCATTTTTTTCCATTTAGTTTATTGGTGCATTTTAGGTGTAAAATACAGTTACATTCATCATTGGGATCTTGTACCTTGACATGATGCATCTTGGTTCTTATTTTTTCCCCCTTCCCCTGCCCTCCCTTCACCCCCTCCACCCTTCCCTGTTTACAAAGACTCTGTTTCCATTTTTTCCTTTTCTCACATTTTACTTGACCATTTCTGAACTTGCAGTCTCCAAGGTCACCATCAGTGTCTCTTCCAGACTGCCTTCCACCCACTTTGTAAACACTACCTGCAGGTCTTCACTCTTTGTGCTAGGCAGGACTGCCCTTAACTCTGCAGTCATTTTTAGCCTGCTAAACTTTTATTGACTCCATCCTAAGCAAGGCACCCGTTGGCTCCCTCATCCTGCCATGTCATTGCCCTGATGGCTTTGCCTCTTTGATGTTACTTCAGTGCCTTCAACTTCAACTGTGTGCCAGTTCTCTGCTGTAGAGTATGCTTGCAGTCTTGTTGGTGATCAGAATGCACTCCTGGTTTTCCTCACTGATGCTGAAGCCTACTTGTCTTTTAGTCTTCTCAGGGTTATTCCTCTTTGCATTTATTCTAAACCTTTGTATTTCTCTCAAAGCCAGGATTCTAGACCTGGTTTGTCTGACTTGAACCCACCTTTACCATGCTGGAGTCAGCAAAATCCATAGCGCTTTTAGTGTCGATAACTCTGCTTGTCATTTTGTTACTGGGCTTTGGTCCTAAAGAGCAGGATTGTACATCTGTCCATTATTAAACTATCAACTCATACCACTTTGACTCCTGATTTTTCTAGTTTATTCTTCACCTTATGAAGAGCTTTCATTTTACTTTACTACAGCAACTTTTTGTGATAAAACTGAAAGATATGAGCAAGACAACAAAACCACTCCCAGGCTGATATTTGATCCATCATTCAATCAATTAAGGATCACCTAATTAATTCTTCCATCATCCTACTTAAAAATAACCGTCAACTCCAAAAGTAGGCAATGCCTTATTGAAATACTGTCAGCTTAATAGCTATTTTGCTAAACATTTCTTCCTTGATTTTAAGTAATCTTTCATCTGTATCTTTATTTTCACTGTTACCCAAATCCCTCTTTACATTATCTCACATACTTCTTAACTGTTCTCTACATCCCTCCCTACCTGCTGTCTCTCGTACCTCCATTCCATCTAATACCCAAAATCTCTCTGAATCACCCCTTATCCCATATCAGCCTTCCCCTCAAAAGATAGGTGGGTAAACCTCAAAAAGGCTTTTAAAAGCTCTTTATTTGCTCCTTAACTTTTTGACCTTACATAGTTCTTACCTCCGCCTCTCCTCTGCTGCTTTGTGTTCATGTGTTCTTCCCTCTCCTATAAATTGCTCCCTGGCTCTGCATGTTCCTGGCCCCTTTTG